AGGCCTTTGGAAGGGGTTCCCGGACCAGACGGATCACATCGGCGTTGCTTTGGAAGGGCACCAGGACGGGCACTGCAGCAGCGTGCAGCATCCATCTGCGGCTTGCTCGGCTTGGTCGGCTTGTTCGCTGATTGCCGCCATATTGAAATGCAGGAAGCTTCCCGGACAGGGCCAAGACCGCAAGCCCTAGCCAGGCGAGCAAGATACGCTGTTTGCGCCACTTCGTGGGCGAATGCTCACTGGCACTCATGACGAGCACATTCAAACACGGGCACCGACTGTATACGACTCTGCTACAAGAATGTGATGCAAGAGTTGCGCGAGTGGAGAATATATGCCATGCTGGACAAACAGCGATGAACGGAAGGACCTTAGCCTAACAAAGTGTCGCATGCTAGGGTCTATGAATTCAAGGAGCCTGCTTCCTTAAGCTGCATGATGCCATCATCGCAGTGCGACACCTCCTACCGGAGCTGAAAATCATGAAGCCACGAGCGCGTGTTTGTGGAACACCACATGTCGGCAAAGCAAGAAGAACTCAGATGCCAAGCGATTTCTTTCTGTGTGGTTCAGAAACCAAATCAGCAAGCAGGGCAGGCTGACTGGGCTGAGCTGGCAGCTTTTGCACGCATGAAACACGCGCAGTTCAGTGAGTCTCTCCCCCACGACACACAGACGGCCCTACACGCTGGTGAGCATGTCCATAGCCTCCTGCAGGTCTTTCAGCTCCTGCTCCCGCTGCGCCTTGCGCTCTGCATAGGACGCGCCGGTATCGATGCAATCGGGCTTCAGCTTCTCGAAGTACGCGTTGGCCGCTTCCAACTCCTTGCGGGTTCCCTGCAAATCCACCTCGAGCATTGTGAGCTCTTGGCTCTTGGCCTGCTTCTTGCTGGTCTTGTGCTCGACTGTTTTTGCCTTGGTGGCCTTGTCAAGCTTGGAGTCCTCCATGAACTCTTCGTACTCCTTCTTGCCAGCCTCTTCGGCAGATTCCGTCTCAGCCTGGAGGCGAGCGAAGTCGCTTTCGATCACCTCCAGCATGGACATGACACCGCCACCTTCGCCCATTCCCTTGTAGGGCTCGTCGCTAAATATCTTGGGCTTGGAGGCCTTGGAGGCATCCATGACGAAAGATGTCTCGACCAAGGATGTTGCCTCCCCGGCCTTGGCGTAGAAGTCCTTCAGAACGCCAAGCGCCTGAGCAACTGCGGCCTGTGCCTCCTTGGCATCCTTGATGGTGGCCGCATTCTTGGCCTCCTCCTTCTTGCGCAACTTAGTCGCACTGTCCATGGCACTGCTGAGTTCGGTGAGCTCCGAATTCAAAGTCGTCAGCTCTTCGCCCAGGCTGGCGATGGATGCTGACGCCTCATCGATCTCAGACTGCAGCGAGTCTGTGGCGTCAGACTTCTCCTCCCTCGTGGCCTTGTTGCTGGTCATCTCGGCATCGCACCATCCCTTCTTTGTAGCTTCTTCGTTGGCCTGGCTCTGCAGCTTCACCAGCAGACCCTCGATCATGGTCCGCACCTTTGCAATCGGGTCTTCGCCAACACGGGAGGCAACGGACGACAAAACACGGCTGTTTAGTTGCGAAGCTCGGCGCTGAAGAAAGCGTGCCACCTGCTCCTGCTTCGGAGAGTGGTGCTCTGATCGAAGGAAGGCCAGGGCACTGGCTTGCACTGCCTGCACCAAGCTGGGAAGGTGCTTCTCAGCGCTGCCAGACACAGCCCCGCTGGCGATGATGTCCTTGGCCTTGCCGATGGCATCGATCTCCTCCTGGCGGAGCTTCTGGCGCTCCTCGTAGGCTGCCGACTTCTTAGTGCAGGTTTGCTCCAAGTCCGTGGAGTACTTCACGTCCGAGGCTTTCTCGGTCTTCGTCTCTTCAAGGTCGCCTTCTGCAGCAGCTTTGCTCTGCAGTTTCTTGGCCTTGAACTGCGTCTTGTCCTGCTGCTCTTTCTTGGACTGCGTCAGCTTGGCTACCAAGCTCTGGGACAGCTTGTCGAAAGCGTGTCGCTTGGTCTGCTCCTCCTTCTCCAAGTTCACACGCTCATCGACAAACTTCTCTTGCAAGCTCTCCAGCATGCTGATGACACCCCCAGACTGAAACTCGTAAACCTTGGGAGCTGGAGCCTCGGAGTCGCCAGACTCGTGCTTGGCTTGCATCAAGCTCGACTTGGGGGCGGTGTTGCTCAGGTAAGCGTCGATGCTGTCCGCAGCTTCGGTGGGAAGCAGCCTTTTCTTCAGGGAGGCATGACATGCCTTTAGGCCTAGGTTACCGGTTTCACACGCACCGGGCAGTTCTCATCACACAGAGAGACACAGGCCAAAAGCGACAGATCCTTTGGGGTCTAGGGTTTCGTTGCTGTGCTTTGCAACGCTGCCACGACATGCCTGGGTCACCTGACAGTGCAGTACTCACAGGCTTCAAGCACGTGTGCTCCGATCCATCCGCGTCGTCCCCTTTGTTTCATGGTCCCATCTCTGATGGTCGCGGAGAACTCTAAATCCGCAGAAAGAACCGTTTATGTTTGCCAAAGTGGTCATCCCCATCACAACACTCAATCCTTCTAACATCTTCTGCTACTAACCACTACTGTAACCAGGCTGTAACCATGGTTCAGGGCCTGACGAAGTGATTGACAAATCACACATGCGTGCGCACACAATCGGAGACTTCTAAAGAGAGTAGCTTCATGCCGCGAGCACGGGTGAGCTGGACAAGGGCCGTCTTTTGGTCCTGGCAGTGAGCACTTCCTTGCAGTGTTTGATGGGCCTTTGCCTTGCAGAGTACTCACACAGGGTCCACAGATGCCCAGAGGCTTTCTTGGCACAGGGTCCTCTGCCTTCAAGCCTTTGACAGCCCTGCGAATGGCATCGATGGACTCCGTGTAGTCCTCGTCACACTTCGAAAGCTCTCGCGCACAAGTAAACGGATATACTCGCGAAGCGACCCTACCACACCCTTGCAGAGTCCTTCAAGGCCACCAAGAAATCTGCACGCTCCTTCTCTCGAATGGAGGTGGCGTTTGCCTTCTCCGCACTGGCCGTCTCGATGTCTGCGACGTGGCCAGCGATCTCAGCGGCGAGACGCTCGGAATCTGCAGCCGCAGACTCAATGTCTGCCTCCAGCGTCTCCATCTTGTCGCTGGCATCACTGATGGACTTCTTCTTCTCTGCCAGGGTCATCTCGCAGAATTGCTTGAACTCCGTGAACTGAACCTGCTCTGCCTCCATGTCCTTTACACCCTTGTCCTTCATATTCTCAAGCATCTGCACGACCTTCTGGACTGGAGTGACATCAGACCTTAGGATCAATGCAGCTGCCAACGATGTGTTGTGCGGGAACATCGGCTGTGGATGGATGTGAGGGTCCGACGCCAACGCGGCTGAGACCAGCGCCAGGAGCAGCGCGCACTTCATTGCGTAAAAGTATGTTCGGGAAGGGCTACAACACTCTAGAGGTCGTATTGCCCATCCAAACCCCACTGGCAGCGGCATCAAACAACTGGTGCAAAGGCGATAAACTTGCAGCACGGTTCCGACATGCCGGATTTGTTTCTTTCCTTTTCGCTTCGGGCCTCGCTCTCATCAAGCGCAGATTCCGCCGTCTCCTGCCAGACCAGCACTACGTTGTTCGACAAGTGTGCGATGAAAAAGGCCATCGCATGACGGGAAAACGAAGGAATGACTTCGACCCCCATGTGAGGACGGCACGCCTCCATCACTTCGGCAGCGCTCGATGAACTGCTTTCCTCTTCCTCCTCCTCCTCCTCCTCCACCGCGACCATCTTTTCCTGCTCCTGTTCCTGCTCCTGTGCCTGAAAGAAAGCCATGCTGCAAATCACAAATGCTGTTCGAGGCCATGGATCAAATTCAACATAGCAGGAAGTCTTCACAAACAACCGTCTGGGGAAGCAGCGGAAGCATCCTGCTCCTTCTGCGGTTCCTGTTTGCTGCTCGCCTGCCTGACAACGTCAGTGTCCCATGGCGTGAACTCCACTTCTTCGGACTTCAAGAGTTCGGTTGAAGCCACGATCGTCAACGCTGCCGTTTTCAACTGAAAACATGCAAAGGAAACATGTGACGACTCTTCCTTTCCGAGTCTCTGAACTCTTTGACTCCGGACCTCTGGCACCTGACCTTCAGTGTTCCTCAAAACCCAACAACGCCCAAAACGCCCAAAGCCGAAACCATGAAAATTCGGGGCTTTTTCCCTGGCCTCAAAGCCTGGGCGATTCGGGCAGCTCGCGTGGCCGGATCGGGCCCCAGCTTTCCTGAGAGCTTCAGACGGGGATGAGGGACCCCTGAGCCTCTTGTGACCCCGAGAGGGTTTTGTCAGTCACAAAAAACAGAACGATGCGAAGATGAGCAAAAGAAGCACCCGGGTGTTCGGATTCAACCCGGAGTTGAACCCCCAATCCGGGCGCAAGGTCTGAAATTGTTTTCTTCGCTCCACCCCGAGGTATGGGTTTAGGACTTTGGGAATTTAGAGGTTGAGGGCTTCGGATTCAAGGAGCGTAGGGAGGGTTAGTTAGGAGCCATCCTGCCATTTTCGCAGGCTCTGCGGATTTCTCGGGCGCTAGGTACTCCAGGGATGCTCGGCGGGACTCGTTGCAGGATTTTCGAGGGGTGCTCGCTGAGATTCGGCGGGACTAGTTATCCAGTAGGCAGCAAACACAGGCACTGATCACACGGCGATCCGTTCAGACATGTGGGAGCGACACTCTCTTCTAATCACAGAGGTGTTGCGAGGTACTGCAAGCGGTCGGTACGCATAGTCGGTACGCGTATGTGCGAGAAACATGCTGTTACACTCGGTGACACACACTCACACACCCACACCGCCGACCGACCGACCGACCGACCGACCGAGGGTGGGGAGCCAAGATGGATCGTAACGCAAATCTTGATCTATTCTACGATTGAGCCAAGCGTTTGCTTGACAAATGAGGTGTTGTATTTAGAGACAGGAACAGTTGCATTCTTTGGTTTCATTGGGATCGTCTGCGTTCTTGTTCTTCTGCCGCGATTCTGTGCTCTTGGACTTAATCGGGAGTGGCGATGGGCGTTTCGTGCTCTTGACGATCGCGTTGATTCCCAAGCATTCTGGGATCTCTAAAGATTTCTACTTGATGCTTTTGAACGCAGATGCCGTTGGCACCCGTAACCGTAACTCAGAAGATTTCTATGAATCTCAGGTCGTTGATCCCTGCTTCAAAGAATTATACTTCTTCTCTTCTTTACTCCCTAAAAATCACTTTAGGCCTCTAAGAGCGAGACCTTCCCAAAAAATCCTGAAAATCAAGTCTTCAAAAATTCTGGGTTGGAGTGGAGGGTGGAACTTAGACTGTTCGTGAACAACGTGCGCTAGCCGAAAACAATGCCGCAATACCTGGGTTCAGCCCAACAGTTTGTTCCACTTGTTTCATATTCGAAATGACGGGGGAGAGGCCGCTTGGATGCGCACCCGCACCATGAGCATCGCATGGGCCGCGACGAATTGCGCGTGGAGCTCCGTGGCAGACCACTGACGAAGGTCAACGCCGACTACGGGTCGGCGAGGACGATGCCCAGGTAGCTCACGACGTCCTCCTCCGTGATAACGAAAGGCGTCGAAGACATAGCGTCGAGGAGAGTTACGGCGACACAGAAAAAGCGGGCGAAGCGGCTGGATGCGGCGACGCCTTGAGCCAAAATGGCTACGGCTGAAAATGAACAGTTTAGGGTGTGGAGTTGAGGGTTCAGGGTGAATAGTTCCTCGTTTGGGAAGGGGGGCAAGAGGAAATGAATCAAGAAGGAGTCGCCATTGCACGGCTCCAGGACGAGACCGAAGAAGCCGCCCTCCAAGTAACTGCCGTGGAAAGCCACGACGTGCCTGAGCCAATGGGCCTACGCCCAAAGCCCCAAAACTGTGACGGTCTTCAGCCTCAGGCAAGCGCATTGAACATACGCCGAAGAAACCTACGTGTTCCCTCACAAACTTCAGCGCGGCACGCCATCCATTCATGAGGGCCCATCACCTCGCGCAGCACATGAACTCGGGGGGGGGGGGGGGCATTTGTGAGTTTTTTTGTCGCTTGTATTTTCTTGTGTCGTTGGCATCTTTTCTTTTTGTGTCACTTGCGTCTGTTGAGATCTCCCATCCTGTAGATGAGGCGGCGGTGCGCACCAAGATTGGTCACCACAGAAGTGACAAAATCGTAAAACTCGATCGCAGTGGATACAAAATGGCGTGAACAGACCCCCTGCCCAGGGCTCCGCAGGCATGCGATCAGCCGCATAGCATGGAGTGTCTCTTCCGACACAGAACAGACCTGTCATCAGTCCACAGTCCACACATGGCCAGAGCCGCGGCAGCGGAATGCCATCTGCTTGCGAGCGCGCAGCAGCCATGCAGGGTTGGGCGGGCGGGCCAAAAACAGCTGGTGCTCGAGCACCGCCCCTCGACTCCCCAACCGTCACGACGATGATCTTGACTCGCACGTTCTCACTAATCATCGCTTAAGACATCTTTTTCTGCAATGTCTTGACTAAAGAGCGCTTGGATCCTTGATGTCCTAAACCGGGCTTGGATTGAGTTTTTCATGTGTGGAAAATGCATATTGAGGCAGGCGAAAGGAGGACAACGCCCCGCGCAAGCTTCCCACTTATTTATTCAGTCCCTTTCACCTCGTTGGAATGCCGGGGACCGGTATGAGTTGTGGTTAGAAGCCGTGGCTGCGTCTCATGATCGCACTCGAAGGGGGAGGCAACAGGGAAGACAAATTCTTTTTCATCGGGAAGTTGAGCAGTTGGTCTCGTTGGGGAGAGTCGGAGAAGGTTGGTCTCGCCAGGTCTCGCCTCTGACGCGCCCGCTGTTTGACTCAACTCCTCAAGAAGTTCCCAAATTGCAGCGAGCCTGACGTATCTGGAGATGAAGTCGTTCAACCTCCGGATATCCCTCTCGAAACCCATTTATTCTGCGATCTAGTCTTTCCGTCGGGGAGCAGGGCCAGGGCCAGATAGAATCCGTGGGGATTCCCTCCGTGATATGTTGGAGAAGGCTGGATGAGGAGCCGATTGGCAAGCTCTTCCACGATTTGGTTCAGCTTTGGGCTGATGGGCAAACTACCGGCTTCCTTCGCCCGTTCTTTGGCGGGGGTCGTCTTGCGGGAGTTGGTAAGAAAGACGCCGTTGCTAAACCGATTTCGCTCGAGACCGACGCTAGACCGATCGTGCTCGGCCTTACTTGGCGAAAACTTGTCTTCAGGGCCACCTTCGCTCTCGATCGGGCAAAGACTCGGGAAAGGTTAGGAGATCAACACTGGTCCTCACAAAAAATAGAGCTGAGACTATGGCTCACGCTGCACGCTTGGGCTCAGCAAAGCCGAGATGATTCCTGCACGGTAATATTATAAAAAGATATCCGCAACGCCTTTAACGAAGTTAGACCAAGTGAATTCTTGAGAAACTATAGAAATCATGCTCCAGCATTAGCGCGATTTGCTCACGATGTTTATGGCATGAACAGTCATTCGGTCTATGCTGGTCACCTTCACGCGTGCCAGCTGCTGCTACCCACTGCTCCGAACGATGCCCAGGTAGAGCAAGATATCACAGCGCGGCTCAAACGCACTACTCCGCAAATGTACGCAATCTGGCGGCGCAGAAATACTCTCACGGCGCGGCTTTTTTTTGGCCAGGAGCTCCTTGGCCGCGCGCAGGGCCCTCTCCTCGGTGTTCTTTTCTTCTGCACGTCGGGCCTGCTCCTTCCTTTTGCGGTCGCGCAGCAGCGTCACGTGGCAGTTCTGCGGACCGAAGAAGACAGGGCGGCCTTCGCGGAGCGTACGACCGGCTCCGCTCCGGCCTTGCCTTTCTTCTCCTCTCGCAAGTCCACGACGTCTGCTGCCGCACCTCGGCTGGAGCTGGGCCGTTCGGCCGGCGCCTGGCAGCCGAAACTGCTCGCGGTTAACACGACACGAGCTTGCGTTTCAACAAAGAACGGGAATGGAAACAGGTGCCAAAGGCTGTCCAATCTTTCCGTGTTCTACAAGCAGAGGATTTCCCCAAGTTGAAGGGAAAAGGCAGCGAGATCAAAGGACTATGTGGTACATTGTTGAAAACGCGGAATCAATTGGTGCCAGCTAATGTGAATCTTGAAGCTCAACAAGGAACTCGAGCACATTCGACACGGGAAACTTTACGTTTTGCTACATGATGCAGCACTCGCCCCTGTTCGGATTGAATGTCAGGAATTGGTGCACTGTCACCCTACTACAAGGAGCAAGATATTCAAGTGTTCAAAGTGACTCCGAAATGCATGCAGCACAACATACAGTAGAGAGCGGTGGACAAACTCATCCTGATTTGACTTCTTCAAGGGGCGTGCTGGGGTATAATAAAATGATGGCAAAAAACGGCAAAATAAGATTTCCGGAGGCTCTCCAGATTTTTCGAAAATTCCAGGATTCCCGCGCGCCCTTTCCCCGGCCCTGCTCCGACAAACGATGAAAAAACAATGACAAATGACAATCAAATGAGACTAAAGCGATAATGCAAAGATGAGATAAACACATTTGTCAAACATGTGGCCGCTTCTCCAAAATGGGGTCGCCTTTGGGTCGTTGTTATCAGGCGGTCCCTCTTATTTAGGGTACCCCGACAAGGGACCATGATTTTGAGAACTGACCATGTGTTGTCGGACGGCGTGTCCTTGCGTTGTGCACGTTGCTCACACGTTGCTTCGGTTTGCAGCGCTGCAATGCTGCAAAAACAAAACACTGGGAAATGCGTGCCGGAACTCGAACACGTCTCATGAGGCTAGCTCCTTTTCCGGGCAATATTCCCGCCCAATCTCGGGCAGATCAATGACCATCTTGATATTTCCAGTCCAGGGTCCCATGGCGCGATGAAGGATGACGCTGCGCACGGACACTGGCTGCGTGGCATGACCTCTGCAAGCCACGAGATTCCGTGGAGTACTTTACTGCAGAGGACCATTTTTGAAGAAACAGCAGGAGCGACCATGCCACATTGGCATGGCTGCATGGTGTGTCACCATCATCAAGTGTGAGGAAGGAATGCTGAAACCTGGTGCTTCTCACGGTGGAGAAACTCAGGGGTGGACACAGACGGGAAAGAGCAACGACGACTTGCTCCGCGTCCTTGTCTCCTTCTGCCTCTAGGCTGTGTCTCATCCCCCCAAGCAAACACACACACACACACACACACACACACACACACACACACACACACACACACACACACACACACACACACACACACACACACACACACACACACACACACACACACACACACACACACACCCACAAACACACACACACACACACACACACACACGCACACACGCACACGACACACCACACACACACACACACACACACACACACACTCACACACACACAAGCAAAAAAAAACAAAAAAACAAAAAAAAAACACACGCACAGTAGGCAAGGGAGCAGAGACGAGCTCTGCACAAATGCGCGGCCTTGAAGAAGAACGAGCGTTGTGGCGTCCAGACGGAAAAGCAGCGCCAGCATGCCTCCTGGAGCCAATTTAACGCTTGCTTCACCTTCAAGCAGATGCCCAAGCAGATGCGCCTTGTGTCGCAACTTTTCCGGCAAGGAATCGGCGCCCATGCCGACATGGGTCACCTGGCCGGGCCACGCCGGTCAACTCGACCACTGACCACTGACACAACCCACGCCATGGGCATGTCAAGATATGTCAAGGCCAGATACGGACAGTATGTCAAGACATGTCGTAGCTTTGGAAGGCCTCCTTCAAGTCGAGAGAACTGATGCGGCGTCCAAAGACACGTCGACCTGAGACTCCAAGATTCGAACGCCCTGACACTCTCCGGACCTGTAGGAAGCTGTAGCACATTGTAGAACTACCCCCAGTGTAGGCCTTTCAGCACCGAACCCAGGTCCTTCGACCACTCCAGCTTTTGTGGACTCGCCGGCGGGGCCTGGACGAGAGAGTATCCGAGAGCACTCTCTCTCTCTCTCTCTCTCACAGCCTTCTGGGCTGCAGGCAGGTGTAAGCTGCATGAATCTTGGCTGCCAGCGCGAGCTGCCAGCCTGTCTCCGAAGCGGCACAGTCAAGGGACGCTCCGCTGATGAAGCATGCTTTGAGGCCGCTGCGCACAGCTTGCTGACGACGATGCCTTTCGAGAGAGCTCCGATTGAAGAGGCCTGGAATACGGCAAGATGGAAGCAAAGCTCAAACGAGCACCCCGAGAGGACATTTCTGATGTCTGTGTCTGATCCGAGAATGTGGCTGCCCGCCCTTGTGATCCTTTGTCCGCTTGGGCACCTCTCATGGCTGAGCCTCTCCCTTGCAAAAGTACTGCTGCCTGGCTTCACGCGCAGTTTGTTCGTTTCGTTTCCTTTCGTTTCGCTTGGCTTCCTTTCGTTTCGCTTGGTTTCCTTTCGTTTCGATTCCTTGCCTTTCGTTTCTTCTCGTTTCCGTTCGTTTCGTTTCATTTCGTTTCCTTTCGTTTCGCTGCGTTTCGTTTCCTTTCCTTTCCTTTCGTTTCCTTTCGTTTCCTTTCGTTTCCTTTCGTTTCCTTTTCGTCTCGTCTCGTCCATCCGTCCGTCCGTCCGTGCGTGCGTGGTGGTTGATGTGCTTGTTGAAGTGTTTGTGGTTGCATTTGCTGGCTAGCCTTGTTGCAGCCAAGGGGCGCTGCAGCCGCCGCTGAGCTCGGGCCTTCTTCTCCTATGGCGATTCAAAAATTCGCGCTTCGCCGAGTTCCCTCGGCAACCGATCCACGCCTCGGCATGGTGAGACCCAGAAAGACCTCGGGCAAGGACGACTCTTGAACTAACCATCGTCACTGTGGATGAATGGGGGGTCGGCTCACATTCTGAAGCTGGCTTCTGCAAGTCTCCACCTGGAAGGCGAAGGAAAAGTGAGGATTGCAGCACCCTCACTCAAAGACATCTGATGCCTCGGCTGCTGCGGCCGCCTGCCAACTGCATCATGCTCTATTTTCCGGTGATGGGCATGCTGATGGCATGCTGTCTATGTCTGTAGGCAGTACGATGGGAGATCGAATAGGTCACAGATTCTACAGTGCCTGCAAAATCTGCCACAATCTGCTAACTCCTAAATCTTATGAGCACAGTGCTCCTGGGCGGCTTCGGAGGTGGCCAAGGTCTCACGAAGCCTGGCAGAGACGAAGCATCCGTTTGGGACCATTCTCGGGTGGCACTCCACTTCCCCGCCCTCGATTTGCCCAAGCACGGCGGGTTGTCTGTCGTGTGCTCGACTCTGCGTTTTGCAAGTCGGCACGAGTCCTTCAACTTATGCTCGGACCCTGGAACGCAGCGACTGCTATTCAACAGATGTAGTAGATAGTGGTGGGTCACCTATATGCCGCATCGCAGGGGGGCGTTGGACCTTGCGAGCTGTGTCCGGGCTTCGTCAAGCTCGGCATCCGCGCACGCTCGCTGGTGTCGCTCACTTTGGAGCTCCTGCACAGATGCGATGCAGGAGGCCTCGGGCTTGCTGCACTGAAAGAGCAATGGAAACGATTAAGACAGCTGCTTGTAACATGAGTGCTCCTCCTGCAACCTGCCAGCTTGTGCCGATGCTCCTCGCCCTTCACCTGCGACGCGCAGAGCCATTGGCATTGGGTCGACATAAGGGTTGCCGAAGGTTCACCTTCTTGTGGGTCAGGCTGAGATACCCCGCAAGCAGCAATTGCACCCAGCTCAGCCTGTCAGTTGTTGCTTGGCATCTGAAGCAGAAACTCGCGCGCTTTTGGGCTGGAAGTACTGAAGGCAATCAATCCTACCGGCCTCGAACAAAGCGGCCTGCTCGAGGAAGGGTCCTGCACTAGCCCAGCAGTCCCAGAGATCAGCTTTGCTCCACGTGCCCTGAAGGCTAAATCGGCTTGGGTCCTATCTGTCTTCGGATGGTGTCCACATAGCGCTGGAAGTCCGCGCTTTGAAGTTCCAGCGCAACAAAGAGCTCCTGACAGAGCCGCAGCACCTCGCCAAGATCGTCAAGCAAAAGGGACAGCAAAGAGACCCAAAGGGGGGGCACGCTTACAAAGGTCTTTTGCTTCTCTCAGGCAGGCGCCATGCAGCTGGCAACCTGCAGAGGACAAGTGAGGTTCTGAGCGGATCTGAGCGTCAGAGGGGGCCAACCCCCCAAACACCTCCATCTCCGCAGCTCGCGACTCCACAGCGGACAGCCGGCGGCGCAGCGCCGCCGCCTCTCCCAAAACTTTCAAGAAGCGGATTGTGTTGCATCAAAATGGTCTTCTCAGCGCCCCTTCTTGGTCCCTCTCTAGTTACTTTTGCCTGCCCCGAAAAAGCGAGTTCTTGAAGCAGCTGCGAAGGCGGAGTGTCAAAACAGCGGAGGTTTGGCGAAGGACAAGGGGGCAGGACCTACCCTGAGGGTGCGACGTGCACTAGACTACTGGCATCATCGTGAGCAACCAGGGTGCACCTCGTTAGCCTCCGACCTGCAAACGATGACGGCCGAAGCTACATTTCAAGTACCACAAGCGCCAGGAAGGTGCCCAACACACGTGCGGCTGAGCTGGCGCCTGGACTTTTCCAGAAGATCCTCTACCACCTCCTGAGTGTCTCAGCGTTGCCAAGTACAGATCCCCAAAATCAGAAACTCCGAGCCACATGTTACGAGAGCTCTCTCAATGGCCCTCGAGCAGAGCGGGATGACTTGAACGCCCTCTTGTTGTTATTCTGCCGAGTGTCTAGCTGCGCCTTAAGCTCCTCCGTACGCCCGTGGCTGTCAGCTCCTGCTCGGCCGCCTCCGCAAACCTATCAGTTGGCATCCAGGATGACTCTAGCGCGCAGTGCGCAGCAGCACAAACAACGTGGTGGTCACTCAGATCCGTCTTCCTAAGAAGCTTGCGCAACATGAACACACAAAAACGTTTGAAACAAAAAAGAGAGAGCACTCCAAAGAAGCTTGCGCAAAATGAACACACAAAAACGTCTGAAAAAAAGAGAGAGCACTCCCATCGAGGAGAGCTCTCCCCTTAGCGGGCGGCCGGACAGCGGCCCGCCGTCTCCTCCATCTCGGCCACAGGTTCCTCCAAATTTTCGGAGGCCAAGCCTGGCGCACTTCGAAGGCGTTCATTACATGGGCCCTTTTTAAGCTTTTTTTAAGCTTGTATTGAGGGTTCGGCCCTGTACAAAAAGAGACGGCTCTTTTTTAGGTAGGAGCTCACGGACCTTCTTGACCTGGCTGGCTGGAGCTCGTCTGGCCTCAAGGAGTCAAAGCATTGGCACAAACCACGCGCTGGTTCAGGGCTTGAGGCGTTCAGGGCTTGAGGCGTTCGTTGTTTTATCTCTTTCTTTTTTTTTGGGGGGGGGGGGGGGGGGGGGCTTAGGGCTTCTAGGGTTTCGCGTCCCAGCCTGTGAGGTTCCTTGGCGGGGAGTGCGGTCCACGCACAGCACGGTGAGCGCCTGAGCGTGAAGCCCCTCAAATACCCTGAGCTCTAACCAGACGATCAAAGGCCCCCCAAACCCTGAACACAACCTCTAGACTCTAGACCCTAAACCCTTAACCCTGAACTCTACCCCCCAAAGATTCAAAACCGAAACAGAAAATACACGAGGGAGCTGGGCGCGAAGCGCCGCAGCGCCAAGGCCTCCTGCTTCAAGTCCTTTGCACATGGGGGATATTAGGGTCCCTTTTGACGGTCCATTTCCGAAGATCTTAACAGGCGACCCTAATCAAGAACATATAGGATTTGGGGCTCAAGATTTCAGGGTTCACGTTTAGAGTCTGGCACCCTAGGGGTTCAGATGTACAAATTGCAGGGCTAAGCTTCAGGACCCAACATTTCAGAAGGCTATTGCCATTGCGTCAGGGTATGTCGACCGGTAGATCTCGCAACAGGAAGTATGGCGCAACGAGGCCAGTTTTGCATATCCAACAAAGGGACTCTCGTTCAGGTTATCAAGCTCCTGGCGATGTCCAGTGAACGCACCTACTATCCTCACAAAAGCGCTTCTCGCTGTGCACCTGTGGCACGTTGACCTTAACCTCCCTGAAAGCAACAACCATCATTCGCAAACCCATTTTACTCGCCATTCCTCCCGGCCTCTGCCACGATCCGACCGTGGCTCCGCTCAGGGCCGGCAGTGTGCTTTACCACCTGGGAGCATTTTGGGCCTTATAGTGCTTGGGAGTGTTTCCCGATTTTCCTTTGCGCTGCACGCAACCTTCCTCAGGCCAGCACATTGGCTTTGGAGCGTCGTGCTTGTGAAAGCCAAATGGCCTGGCACGGGCTTGGGTTTAGGATTTTGGGTTTGGCGTGCAAAGATGTGTATATGTCACTCATTCATGACTCAACATACATGACATACATACCTACATACATACAACCGAAACAAGAACAATGTGCCCCCCCCCCCTTCTCTACCAACAGGGTTGCTTTGTATTGACAAGGCTGAAGATGCCATTGTTACTTATTCTACCGGAAGTTTGCACCTTGCGCTTCTTTGTGCTCTGTACCAATACCCCAAAACTCCTGTCAGTGGCAACTTTATCACCAGAAAACGGTTCACTTTTCCTAGCAACTCTCATCCTTTTTCGTCCGTAACACGAGGACGGCTTAGGTTGTTGTCCCAGGCTAGTTCACGTCTTATTGAAGACGCTGGCCAGACCCTCGTTGAGTTTTTGGGTTCTAGGGTTTAGAGCCTTCGTTTAGGTTGAGGGTTTGGAGGCCTAGGACTAGGGATTGCGGAGAAGAGGTTTCAGGGTCTCGGGTTTCGAAGTCCCTGGGACGGCGGCCTCCGCTTGCAGGCCCAGCAGTGGCGAATGGTCCATGGCAGCGTTGGGGCTGAATGCGTACAGACGAGGCAAAGGTTGTGCCAAAGCTTGAGCATCAACCGCGGAAATCTCCACATCAAACCCGCCATAACCCTAAACCCTAAACCCCCCAATGGGCCCTACATGGCCCTACTGTAACCTTGCAGGTGGGTTCGGTAACAGGGACAAATTTGCATGGTTTCAGGGTGAAGGACTGCCGAAGACGGCTGCATCGCTATCTGCTGCCTTGCTGCAGACGTGGCCTACGCGTGGCTGTTTTCAGGTTTTTCTTTCGAAGGTTTTTTCCGGCGGAATCGCGCTGCGCGATTCCGTGGCTGTTCTTTGTGCTGCCCTCCTGAAAAAAATGGCCTCTTTCAACTGGGTTGTGTCTGGGGGGGGGGGAATGACGTCTATCGGCCAAGCTCTTAATTCCTATGCTGTCTGCGCGATGCTGAAACCCCTCAACCTCCAAACCGCGCAGCACAAAAAGCTCTTTGAAACCACATTGCGAATGCTGGGAGAGAAAAACCATACGAAACCATCTCTGTTGCCCAACTCGCCGGGGCAACCTTTGACCGACCCCGAACTGAGTCACCCAGTCCAAAGGGATAGGGGGCGTGGCCGCGGGCTTGGGCTTCGCGCTTGTGGGAGTTATAGGGTTTAGGTGTGAGGGGGAGTGGGGTTGATGGAGCTTGGTGTCAAGGCGTTCAGTACTCCACCATTACCGGACACAGACCATGTTCTGCACGCTAGTGCGACGTTGCAAGCCTAATCAAGCTCACATCCCACCCACACCGCGGAATCACTGCTTAAAAACACTTACGTAGGCTCCGGGTAGGAAGCAGTACGGCGCAAATCGACGGCCTCAGATCCAACACGATCTGGCAAAGCTCGGGGGACCCTTTGTTTGGGCCCTAGGTTGAAACATCTTGAAAGTGGGTGAAAGTTGAAACTGCGAAGCTGCCTTAAAACATGCTGGTCTGGGACTTCCTCAAGCGCTGCCGCAGCCTCGGCACGGTGAGCAGGGAGTTGGCATCCAGGTCGTCCAAGGAGGCCTCGGCCACCTCGGCCCCAGAACGCGCCTGGGCCCGGTGGGCCCGCCAGTCTCGTGCTGCCAGGGCAGAGCCCGCTGCGATGAGGCCCCCGATCCGCTGCAGGGTGACGCGCAGGGCCTTGGCGCTCCACTTTACCGCCTCGCCGGCGGCCACTTCGGGAGCGCGTTCGTGGGCATCGTCGAAGAGGTTGATGCCATCCAGAAGGGAGAAAGCAGCTTTGGTGGAAGAGGGGGTGGCTTCCCCTTGAAGCAAGTTGCAAAGGTTTTGAGAGGACATAAACGCGAGGCCCATCTTCTGATTGGGCTCTTCCAGTAAAGGGTGCAGCTCATGTAGCGACTCGTCCAAGCCCTGGAGCACTAGCTTGATTGCTCGGACGAAGGTGTGACATCGGTCCGCCTCACTGGAGGGCAAAATGTCCTTCACCAACTTGGCCGCGTGCTTCGTGCTTTCACAGCGCTTGGCGCTGTTCTGCAGTGCTGAGACCCAAACATAGACCTTCTTGTGCCATCATCTTTCACAACATGCATGGGACTACCTACTCGCCCATCGAAACTTTAGCCAACGTTGCCTCATCGAAATGGTCCAGCAGTGTCGGGACAGAGTCTGCCTCCCGCAAGCAAAAACAAGAGTCACCAACAAAAACGGAACTCCGACACCAAGACCACCAGACGCCAAGACCCTGAGACACTAAGTCCCTAAACATCCCTAGACCCCTGCCCCCACCCCCTCCCCCTGCCCTGCCCCCAAGTGGGACAAGAAAACCCGAAACACTTTTGATCTCCCAGCATCGCCCTGAGCCTTGTATGGCGGCTGCCAGAGTCTGGTCCAAATGAGGCCTCTGAGGCTTTTTTAAGGAGGGGCTGGCGAAGGCCTCTTGGGCCTTTAGTGAGTTTAGGCTGTAGATTTGGGCTGTGAAGGGGTCTAGGGTTGGCGAGGGTGCACAACAAGTGCCAACCACCGGGGTTCGGATTCAGTTGAGGGGTTCAGGGCTGACTTGGGCTACGCTGGCGGCCTTCTTTCTGGATCTCCGAGTCCCAGAACCGAGCGACCTTCAGAAACGGCGGCTCTCTTCTTTGCATTCACAACCAGAGTCTGTGCGCAGTGGCAGCAACAAGTCCATGTTCTCTTCCCACGAAGCATGCCTAGAACGGTGCGCGATCGGTTGAGAAAAGGTAAGTACGTACGACATAGGACTACAGTGCGGCAGATGAGTCGAAGAGCGAAGGTCCGAAGCAGGGCACCATGTCAAAGGCTTGGGCAACACGCATTGTGCCTCTTAGAGAGCATCAACACACTGACAGCACACGACATTGCAGTGTGTTGAAGCAGTGCACCCATCGCAGGCTCCATTCGAAGAACCGAAAGCAGCAGGAGCAACCGATGTGCCGTTTTGCGGCGCCAGACCCCGCTTGTTGTAACCAGATTCGCAACCTCTCCTAGCCCATTCGAAGCAGAGCAAGCAGAGCATCTGCAGCGCATCCGCCTTTATGTCCTTCTGGAGCGGGTCAAGGTCCAAGTCCGTCACCTTGCCTACCTGACTCAGGCTCGAGCATCTCAGGATGGCATGTTCTGTGTCAGGCTGATCCAAGATCGAACTGAGAAACCGCCCTTTACGACTGCCAAGGTCGTTTTTTGTCTTTCAGGGCCGCAGAAAAGTGCCTTGGGCACTCTTCCAAGCCCCCTGAGAAGCCATTTCGTCGCAGCAGCAGTGGAACTGAAGGAATTCCAGCCCTACCGCCTGCTCTGGGAAAAAGTGGCTGGCAAAAGTGTTCACAAAACGTGGCTTTTGGCACTCTTCTGGTGCACTTTTCTGCTCAGGTGATAACAGTCGGGCTCTCGCCTCGGGTGGGCGCTGTAGGCTTGGTATGTCTTGGTCAGCTCAGGGAAGCTTTGGGCTTGGGGCTTAGGAGTATTAGGATCCTTAGGATCGTTGAGTTCCGAGACACGGCCCGTGAAGGACTGCAGCTGTGAAAGCTCGAGGGCAATGGCAGCCAAAGGTTTAACCACCTGGAGGGTTCGGTTTGGGAGCAAGAAGTCAGCGGGGAAGGCTGGAGGACTTGTAGGAGCATCTTATTTCCGGGCGCCCGTCACGTGTCTATGTTCTACAATGCGCCAGGCCCGCCAGGCCTCGAACTGGTGCAGGGAGAGGTCGCCCGAGGGCGACTCGTACTTCTCGAGGTAGAGACGCACGGTAGCTCCAGCTACCCCTGTGCCCGACAATCTGAAAATAATTCGCGAGTTGTCTTCGAAGATGAACCGCAGCCCCTGCTTCTTGGAAACGCTTCCATCAACAGGATCCGTGTACTCGAACATGTCGTTGATCTTGATCCTTGCAGTGTGCATGGCATTCCATGGCACGCATACACATACACACACGCACACACCCAAGCGTATCCCAAGCGTAGTCCAGAAGTCGCACACAGGAGCGGCTTCTTGTTGCATCAAGGCGCTTCATCCCACCGATCTCCTGCCCCACAAGCTGACCGTTCTTGGCCTCCATAGCCGCGAACATCTCCTCTGCCTTGGGCTTGTCGACACCTCGGAGACACCGACATGTCAGACAAGAGATAAACATGGTGAACGCGACAAACAGACCAAAGAGACCCGGAGATGAAAGACAGGGAGAAGTAGTAGGAGGGACAGTAGGGAGGTAAGCGCACCCCACCTTCATAATCGTAGCGAGCGTAGTAGTTCCGGCCGTACTCCTGCCAGTGCTGCATGGCCACATCCTCCACGGTCACGAGCTTGCCAGCTTCTTCCGTCTTCTTGGCGAGTATCTGCAGCCAGGCGAGCACGGCCCACATGCCATCCTTCTCGCGGACATGGTCGGCACCAGTTCCGAAGGACTCCTCACCGCAGATGAAGGGCGTGTAGGTCTCCTTCCCTGGGAAGTAGCTCGTCCCGCTGTCCATGAGATTTCCGAAGAACTTCCAACCAGTGGGCACTTCGAAGCACGGGATCCCCTTCTTCGCGGCAACCAGGTCCAAGGCACCGGAGGTCGGCATTGACCTGGCACAGCCTCTCAAGCCATCCTTGAATTGGGGAATGAGGTGGGAGTTGGCCACGATCATGGCCAGGGAGTCAGAGGGGGACACGAAGAACTGGGAGCTGAGAATCATGTTTCGGTCTGCATCGCCGTCGGCAGCCGCCCCGAACTTGGGGATTGGCTTCCCTGTGTCCACCTTCTGGCCCTCCTTGTTCAGGCCCATGTCCGCCACCAGCTCGACCTGAGAAAAAATGTGGCGGGGGCCAACCTGCTTAAGTCTCAAGGCCGCCAAGGCCAACAACGAGCAACAACACCGAGCCGCACAAAAAACGAGGCGCGGCAAAGTGCTCGCTAAGGAGCCGCATAGGTCAGGTTCGGGTCCGCGTGCCCGTGCCAAGCAGACTCGGGACCCCCAAAGTCCGGCATGGGCGTGGCATTCTTACAGCTTCCAGCTGGAGCGCCCAGCGCTCCTGCAGGCACAACGGGCCACGAAAAGGGTTGTATGGTACACTTGAGTCGACGTATATGACGTCACACACGGGGCAAGCGGTCCTTCCAAAATACCCAGTGCATACGGCCCCTGCACACCACTCATCGAGTCGTAGGTCATGCTGAACTCTGGGTGCGTCATCAGCTTCTTGATACTTTCAAAATCGAAGCACTGCTTCAGGACAGCCATGTGGTCCTCGACACAGTCGAAGATTTCGACGCTTTTGCCACCTGGAAGCTCATAGACCTGTGGCTTGGACAAGTCGAAGTCAGGGATTTTGCTGCATGTCTTCAGCTCACTAAGCTTGGCAGTCCACTCAACCATCTTGTCCGTGAGCTTCTCTGGGGCAGGGCCTCCATTCTCACAGTTGTACTTGATCCCAAAGTCGTCGTTGATGCCGCCAGGGTTGTGCGACGCCGAGCAGATGAAGCCACCGAAGGGCTCCATGCCCTTGCCCCGGCAGCGGATCACCGCGGAGGTGGCTGGAGTTGACAGGAGCCCATCGGTGCCACACCAAATCCTTCCGACTCCTGACAGCACCAGCCCAAACAGCAACCCTCAAAAAAAAACCAACCTAGAGAAGCAAACCCTCTTCCGGTCAGGCACGGTCTGTTCAGCAAGCCTGCGCTTCAACCTGCTTCAACACGCCTCGCCTGCGGCGAAGGCCATCTTGATGATGATTTGGATTGCCTCAGGGTTCCAGAAGCGTCCGTCACCGGAGACCACTAAGGTGCCTCCGGCCACGGGCACACCGGACTCCAGCAAAGTGTTGAAGACACTCTGCACGTAGTTGGCCAGGAAGGTGCCCTCCATGAAGACCTCCAGTTGGCAACAAAAGGGAAAGAAAGAAACCATAAACCCCTTCAAGGAACATGAAACTTAAGGTGAAACTTACGAAGAAACACGAAACAACCCCCCTGTAATCGGCTCTTAATAAAAGCCGAGAGGAGGGGGGTGCGCCTGCCTTCGTCTTCTTCCGAAGCCCTGAGGTTCCCGGTTTCTGCCCTTCGATGGGCTTCGTGGGCAGGGTCTCCACGGCCATGTCGCACTCGACTTTGACCACCATGGCGTCCAAAGCGGGTGCCCCCTTTAAGCTAAAGAGAGTGGCTACAAAGGGAAACAAAACTGTACCAAAAGGACACGGACTTTGAGCCAGACGGCTGCGATGGTCACAATACAGCCACGCTTCTCCTAACTTTCCGGGCGCACCGAGTCAGGGCAGTGACAGCAGCGCAAGGCTCACGGACACTGAATCTTGACCAGGTCTTGGCTTCAAAGTTAGGGCCTAGGGCCTAGGGTCCAGGGCACGACTCGTACAATATCCCCCAAACGCACATGCGCAGCGTCGTGGCCTTCAGCGCCTCGATGGCGCTCGCAACGTGCTGAGCGCAACGCGTCACAGCTGCCTGCTTCACAGCAGACGGTGGGTACCATGTCACTAAAATAGCGCTGAGTACATGACGACGATGGGTTGCGGACAGTTCCGTCATGAGCTTCAGTTTGCACTGATGCATCAGTCGAAATTTCCAAGCCCGCACTCCGACAGAAACTCCAGATCCGTGAGCGGCAAGCCAGGAAACCAGCAATTCAGCAAACTCCCGAACTCCCGCGATTCTGGAAACAGGTCGCATCAAGAACCTGGCATCAAAAACTGCAGGAACCTGAATTAGGCCATTCGATTTGCCATGTTTCCTGTCCCAGAGCGTGTCGATGCCCGCAACAGGAAGCTGGCCGATTCGGAAAACTGGCATCATGCGATGCAGGAAACTGAATCCGACGATCGGCAGACTGCCCGAGTCATGCACCTGCCTGATTCGGGAAACTGACCCAGGGTTGGGTGAGGAGCTGCCGCAACATGCAACTTGCGAAGTCCGCGTTTCTAGTGTCAGTCCTGAATCAGCGGTTTCCAGTCTGCCGAATGCATGGTTTCCGGAATCAGCAGCCCATTTCCAGTTTCCCAAAATCCGCAGTTGTTCAGCATCCAGAATCCACAGTTCCAGGGTTTCCTGTGTATGCCGAATAAACCTTTCTCAGTTTACGAAGCCATCCTTTCTTAGCTGTATTCCGAATCCCCGCCTGACCGCTCAAGATCGCGGCTACCCTCTGTTCCCATCCGTTTGAGCGAGCGCATCCTATGCACCCTGAACTCTGAACTCAGCGGGATTTCGGAGCCCAAACCCCTACGGGTGGGAGGGGTGGGAGGCCCTGGCCTTGACCTGCTCCTCGGTGCTGTTGCCCTCAGGGGGCTCAGGGTTTCGGATCTCGTGGGCTGAGGGAAAAACTTGCTCAAGGACTCTAGACACACTGGGCTGCGGCAAAAACAACCGGTGCCTGGACATAGGCAAAGACCATGTCCACCATGAAGACCACCTGAGCGCGCACGGCCCGAAAATGTTCTTGATGGTGCTGCAGCGCTTCATGCCGAATGGTGCGAAACATTCGTGCCTCACCAACACAGACCCTCCTTGCACAAGCGAGCCGGAGGAAAGGTCTCTTAGGATGCAGCGTCTCTTGGCACGAACCAAAATGTACAAGTAACCCAAGTTGACCCAAGTTACCATGATGGCCACAATGTTGTCCAGGATCGCCATGAACAACTCGGCATCGGGCTGGTCAAAATGCGGGAGGTGCCTCAGCCTTGGCCATGGGGCGCGGGTCCCTTGGACAGAAAACGTGAAAGCTGCAAAGTAGGGCCAAGCTCAGTAGGCTGTTGCCAGGCAACATCTGCACCCCGCCGTAGCCGACCTGACACACACAGTCGGCGTTCACACGTTGACGAGCTTTGGCGAGAGTTGGCATAAGGTTCTGGTATAGTTGCTAAGGCACCCAGAGAAGACAGGCCCGGTAGTACTTGGAGCCCGGAGCCAGATACCCATACATTGCCAGCGTCCACATGATGAACATCACGACGAAATATGCAAAGATGCGCAGCAAGGAGGAGGTGGAAGTGAGGCTGAGGTTTGCTTCTGCCCCAGTCCCACTCAGAATCAAGATGGCGGGAACATTTCCCACAGCCAGCCCCATGCCGACCCCCAGAATCCGATTCATGTTCGTGTCAAAGGAGGAGCCAGATGTCTCCGAAAAAATAAAGGATGTGGCAACCACACAACCCATGCTGTAGTCCCGGGAATAGACGGACCAAAGGAGAGCCAAAGTCCAGGAGACGGTGTTTCGGAGAGCAAACCAGTGGCGGGTTCTCGAGTCCTTCTGCCCACCTGGGGCCGCATCCTGATGGCCTCGGACCAAAACACCAACTTGATACATTCGAATATAAGAACAAAAAATCTGTGCGGATATTCATGCAGTCCTAAAGAGGCGTACCTACTTCCACCACAGCTCCGTTGCAGAGGCAACGTCGAAGCACAACCACGCTCTCTACACGTCTGAGTCGCACGATTCAAAGTCGTTGAAGGTGGCGGGCCAGGAGCGCAGCCTCAGATTTTCTGGACTCAGGGACAAAGATGCCTTCAGGGCGCGCGCGGCAGATGATTTCAGCATAACCCGGGTAGCAGTGACGAGTGGCTGGTCAAGGAAGGCCATTTCAGCCGAAGATGCATTCTCAGGTTTGGCATGCTTCGCCAGCGCCTTGCACAAGACTTCCTCGCGGGCTGAACTGCCCTAGAGTCCAGGTTCTAAGCGCTTCTGATTCTGGCCTGAAAAAATTGTTAGCTGAGGCCGGGAAAACAAGGCCCAAGCAACCAAGTGGATCTGTTGCGGGTGAGGTTTGGGAGATTGTTTTGAAGGTTTCCAATGACCTGGATTCTGAACCTCAGCCATGTAGGCTCCAGATGCCCAAGAGGTTCAATTGCCGGGACACCGACAGGATGCTTCTGCTTCCAAGCGTCGTCTGCCTTCTTCGCGAGGCGCTGAAGCTCTTGACGCGTCTCCAAGCTGAGATCCGCCTTTGCAATTCTTGCTATGGCTTGCGGATAGCTTAGCAGCTTAGCACGGACTGTGGAAGGCTTTGGCCACTTTACGGGTTTGGGACTCACACCTGGGCGTTGGGCTTAGGAAAACTTGGAGGTTGTGACAAAGACTAATAACGTTCGTCAACCATCTGCAAAGCTCCGCACAACGGAAGCCGCAGGCCTTGTGCCGGCAGTCGTGAGCTACCGCGGCAAGGCCCTCGCTGCAGGCGAGCACGAAGTCCTCGAAGAAACGTACCGACAAACACGCTGACATCAATGAAATCTGCAAACTCACTCAGACTCAGGTCCTCGACTAGCTGCTGCTCGCCCTTTGCAGTAGACTGCCCAAGATACCGCATCAAGCCGCTCTGGATGCGGAGGAGTTGGCGCAGCTGGCGCAGGAAAGCAGCTACCTGCAAATCTGACAGCGATGGACTCATTGAGGGGTTTCGGTTCAGGGCCGCAGCTGGTCTGCTACGGACAAGGCACCTGCCGCAGATGCTTGTGTTGCACCCGCATGGGAGCGGATGCCCAGGACTCCCAAACGACCTGCAATGAAGGACGTCAAACTTGGAGCCCTGAGGATGTACCCTTGGGTTTGGGAACCTTTTTTTCATGATCCCCTAAGGGAATCTGAGGGCCATATTCGGAGAAAATTGAGGAACCACTTCGGGGTGCATCCTTAGGGGTCCAAGTATGAATCTCTTGACGCAACACGCAGCTGCAAAGTCCAAAGCCCTAAGCTCACTACAGGAACACCACATTCCCTCCACAGTCCCACCATCCATGTTGACTGCGTATTGCCTGCTCCAAGAGAGCCTCAGCAGTCGTCCGGCGCTTTCCCAGCTGCCGGATGTAGAAGTTGGAACTGTCAGCGTGGAAGGAGAACTTCCAAGCTTCTTGCTGGAGGATCGTCATCAGGTACTCCAAGCAGCCGGCGGTGTCCTCTGCCAGCTGTGCCAACTCAGTAGCTGCACACCACAGACAGCTGTGTCTGCGCACAGATTCCCGGCTCCAGGGGAGGAGACCAACAGATGGGATGGCCAACAGAACGGCAAGGGCAACGAGCCAGAAGCCACACATGGCAATTCCGTTCCAGTTCCAGGTGAATTCCCAATCCCACAGGACAGCTCGGAAGCCAGATGTCGTCCGAGGATTCATGAATGGAATCAGAAACTCTGAAAACACTCCCAACGCGTATTGCTTCTGGCCTACAGGTGTGGAGCTAAAGAAAAGGGCGTATGTTGAGCACACGGCGAAGGCGATGGCGCCCAAGCTGTGGTACCCAAATGGCAACCAGGCCTTGCTGAAGTATTCTTCAGGTAAATAGTTGACGCCACCTGCACCACCAGGCATGATCAGGTTCAGGAGGCTCGCCATGCAAAGCCCAGTTGCAGCGCCCAGCAGCGCATCATAGATGCCACTGACCAGGCTGCCAAGGTGCGGGGTTACCAAGAAGGAATACCAGAAGGGAAGATGATGATAGATCCGCATGATGTTGGTCGGTACCAAGCTGTAGCTGCTTGCTGGGCATCTGTCCCAGCCTTTGAGTGACGCCTGAGGTCTTCCTCCCCCGTCTTAATTCTTGCATTGACCATGAATGAAACCATGAAACCTAACCTGGGCCAAATGCAAGTCCCAGCTGCGTTGGCAGACCTTTCTGAACAGGGAAACAGCAACGGCACTGCACCGATGGCCACGTAGACCAGCGCAGACCGCAAAGCCAAGGCGTACTCAAGGTGCGAACTGCCTGTGCTCAGCGTTGCTTGATGAACATCAAACTGGTCTACAGTCGCCCGAAGAGCCAAAACCGACACGAAACACCTCTTCACTAGACGCCCCCCCTCGAATCCAAAGCAAGATGCACCATCCTCTGCGCGGCCTGCAAACAACAGGTGAAGAGAACGCCCACCGAAACAGCTATCAAATATCGAACAGCTCAATTCTGTAGGGACGGACGTGCTGCTAGGGCCGAGCACTATACTGAAGCATGCCTTCCTGGTCTGCCCCTGCACATGTCACATGCACTCAAGTACCTGCTTCTATACTCAGTCTCGCAACCGTCATAGCAAGGCAGGACGTAAGCTCCAAACCGTTCCCCCGCCTCAAAAGGGACCAGCTGCGCTTCAAGAACACCAGTAGCAGCAAGAAGGCCAAAAAAAACACAAGCCACAGGCTCGCCATGTTTGCGAGGTTGTCTTTGACAGATGTCACTGCATTGTCATGCGTTGTGCAGACTCATACTGGCACATACTAGCATTGCAACATGAAAGTGCCGACTTGCAACAAAGGTGCGCCGCATGTATGGCCACGACAATGCAGTTGCCCAACCACCTACTCTAAAGCTCAACCCGAAGAATGTGCTAACGAAAGATCGACGGTGAACTGATCGTTGGTGTAGAGCTTGGGGTAAAATCCGTGCCGTCGAGTCCGGCAGATGGGGGTCAGTGCTGAGACAGCTGCGCAAATTAGAACAACGGGTATTCAGTCGGAAGCCGATAGAAGGATCCGCATACTTCCGAAACGTGCATCCTGCCATGGCGCAACAAAGGCCCGAGAAAACTTGGAATTCCCACTATGAAAGCATGGAGGCTTATATCATTCTCCTTGGAGCGACGGACTGCGCGAAGCCTTCGCGAGCTCGGTTTCCGAGATCTGGCTAGTGAGACTGGCTGGTGAAACTGGCTTGACGCCCACATCTCTGATGGGCCAAGCTACACAGAGCAACCATTCCGACAACTTCCGACACCCAAAGGCAACTGAAGATCGAATTGTCGTGTCTCCAACCAAAAAGAATCCTTCGAATGCCTACGAACGCTTCTCGGATCTATGGCTCATTGTAGGATCCAACGGTACAGTGGCTCGGAGCCTCACGCAGGTGGAGCAGCCTGAGCTCAACGGCACCAAACAAAGCAGAGGCGAGAAGATGATGGATGAGCATGGAGAAGAGACTCAGGAGCCAAGAGTCGAGGATAGTCGAGGAGAGCACAGAGTCAGGAGAGCATAGGGTCGGGGGCCTGTTGAATGCCAAGGGACAGGGTCTCAACCCGCTCGGCGATCTGCCTCCGGAGCTCGGCGAGCCCAGGTGCGGCTGCTCCCTCCGAGGCCAGAGGCGTCAAAGGCGTCAGCGTGGGCAGAGCTCCGGGAGCTTTCTTCGCTTCCTTCCGTGGCCTCGGAGCACACACAAGCACACAAGCACACACAAGGTCCAGTCTTCAACTTCAGAAGTCAAAGTCTAACTTTGCTGCGAGCCACTCAGCTTTGGAACCACTTTGCTTCAGCTCTCCCTCAAAGAAGGGCAGCTCACGGTCGAAAGAAGGTTTCGACAGTTCCTCCGTGACCATCCGCAAGATGTCTTCCCGAGCCTCACGCACCTCGACTGATGCAAGACTCATGGCGAGAGGGCATGAGAGGGCCCTAGGCTGGTCCTATAGCACTCCAACAGATATGGCTCTAACCCATCCTGTTTTCGCAAAAAATCTGCTGAGAGCTGCGAGGCCACCAGCTCGTGTGCCGAGGACGCGTGTGCTACTGGCAGCTGGTCTTGCCAGGTACCCAGTTCAGCGACAAGGCGTGCAGCAGATGCCAAGAAAGCTTCGACGCCGCGCTGCTGCCTCACCGTCACGGACATGTATCCCAACAACCGCCAGCAGTCTTGGCTGATGATGGAGTGATCGACGAACACCAGGCACACTGCAACTTCAGCCAGTCCGAAAACGTTGAAAACCTTCGGGCGCAGCTGTAGCTGTGCTTTCTGCGTGCGAGAAGTCATGGAAAGGACCAGTGGTGGTCCACACTGGCATTCTCCGGAGACCGTTTTTGAAAGCACGGCGTGCTCCAGCTTTAGCCCTCGGTTACGCAAAGAAGCAACATCGACCGTGACCACATACGCTGCACTTTTGCCGTAGCGCGGGCGTCCTGCCCAAACCTCCCGCTTCTGTTCCTTGACGATGGATCTCGGAAGCCTGCAGAGAAGTGCCACAGTGCCATTCGGCGCTGTGGTCAGCAAGCTGTGGCCACCGCAAAGCCCCATGCTGGCGAAGTACTCGCCATCAAGGGTCACAATGGGGACCTCCGAGCTTCGGTAAACCTGAGACTTTGAGAACTGCAGGGTTGTCAAACTGCTCAACTGAAACTCATCGCCTCTCTGACCCATGGGCCGAGCAGCGACAGCGGTATCCGGAGGCCGGGCCTTGTGGGTTTTCGTCTTGTTCTTCGTGGCTTCCAGCTGCTTCGCAGCTTCCAATTCTGCATCTCTGGAGAGGAGGAAGGGGACTCCATCCACCAGTACCAGGGAAGGGCTTGAACCACTTCCTTGGGCAAACGCTCGAGTATCTCTCGATGTTCAGGGCAGCCGCGCTTCGAACACAAATCCTATGTAAACTCGTCAAACCCAAACCCAGGACCCTGAACCCCGACAACCCGAACAACCCAAAAGCACTAGAAACCCTAGTAGAACCCTAAAAGCCCCAAAAAAACCTCACCCTAGGAACCTCAAAACATCCAAAAAACCCTCAAAAACCTCAAAAGCCCCAAAAACCTTCCAAAGGCCTGCAAACCTCAAAAACCCTCAACAAACCCTAGAGAGCCTGGAAACTCTAAAAGCCCCAAAGCCCCCAAACCCTGGGCTTCAGGAGCTTCGGCGCCAGGTGGCCCGGGGTGTCTGCCAGGTCTGCAACCACTTCAAGGGCTCGATCTTGGCGTTCCACCAGCGTGTAGGGCGGACTGGAGGCAGGAAACAGCCTGGAGAGACATACCGGAGCTTAGGGAAAACACCCGGTCAAAACTGCTTGTTAATTCGAAGGGTTCTGCAGATGAAAATTTCCCACACTGAATCTCATGAATCCCCTGAAGCCCCAAACATCCCCATCAAGCAAGCCCCAAAACCTGAGTCCCAAAACCTTCACTGCCGGAGGAACCCCAGAGCCGCTTTGCGCCGGTTGCTGCGGACCGCAGCTTTGAAGTAGATCGGCAGCGCCCTTGCCTCAAAAGGAGCTTGCGAGAAACGGCTGGTGCAAAAGGAGGCTTAGAGGCTTAGGAGGTGTAGGGCTTGGGGGTTGGGGGCTTGGGGGTTGGGGTCTCGTGAGTCTAGTGGGGTTTGAGAAGATGCTCCGAGTTCGCAGAAGTGGTGTGGGCAAGTGGAGACAGAAGCATCCCATGAATGCCACTTCGATCATTTGGGTTTGGAATGAAGCCTTCTCACCTCTTCTTCTTCGGGACTTGAGAACGGAGGACCCCCCTCCCCCTTATGTCATTCTTTCTCTTCCTTTCCTTCCTGCAGAACCCCTCTTGCTTAAGTGCAGGCGCAACGTTCTCCCAGCATCCTGGCCCGAAGGAATGCACGGATCTCGCCAGAGCCACTGCAACGGGCTTCAGGTCAACGCCATCCTTGGACTGGGTGGTTACGATACTTCTGCCTTCGGTCTGTCGCTTTGTGATGCAAAAGGTACCCCCATCAAGAGCGTTTTGGTTTTCAATGTTTTCGGGTATGTGGGCTGCAGATCGTCCGCTTCGTCACCTGGGAAGTCGAATCTACTGCCTGCAAGACTGATCCCTTTGACTCCCCGGAAAAGTTAGGTCAGGGTTCACTAAGGTTATGATGCATAGGATTTAGGGATAGAAGGCTATTGGCTTGGGGTTGCGCCATCATCACAGCGACTGACGGCACCTAGCAGCCCAGATAAATCAAAATAAGCCCAAGACCTGAAACCTTCGGGTTATGGCTGCTCTTCGGAACCACGCCTACCACGACACATTGACTTTTGGAATTTGGTCCCTAACTCTTGCGCATTATCAAGCTGAGATACAGCCATCCAGGCAGATGCCTCCCGCAAGGATGACATCATGCTCGGATTCCCCAAAGGCCCATGCTCCTCCGCACAGAAACATTTGCTCGGCTTGCCGATGCTGTAGGAGCTGCATGTTGCTGCAAGTTGAGAGCACCTGAACTCCTAAGATTCAAGAACCTAAACACGAAGCCTCAAAGGCACAGCGGGGCAATGCTTCTTGCTGACCTCCGGGAGAAGCTTTCGCGTGGCTTTGGTGACCTTTTCCACGAAAAGCCGGCAGTCCACACCTCACGATCACAAGGGAGGATTTGGTGATCAAGGGCTTCATGATTGTAAATTGTAAGTGTTAAGGGTGGCTTCGGAGATCTTCTGGGAGCTCTTTTGGGGATCTTTTTCGGACCCTGGTGCTCTGCCGAAGGGCTCACATCAAATTTGTGCGACGTCGAGACCAGGGTTTGCGGGTTGACTTCCCGCACCCGGTGCCCCAGCACCTGCACGAAAGGCAAAAGCAGCCGCAAAAGCTTGCAGGGCAAACCAAGACATATGAAGTAGGGTTTGAGTGCTGGCATCCCCAAACGGACACCAAGAACAAAAATCACCCCGTCTGATATCACAGATGCCCCTGCATGTTTCCAAAAAGTGCACTCTGCAAAAGGGTGAACCTGTGAGGAGGCCAAGTGCTGCAGCGTGATCTCGCCTCGATCCAGCACCTGCCCAGACATCCCAAAAGGGTGCATCCAAAGAACGGGTCCAAACAATCGGCCATCCAACAAAGGGGCATCCAAAAAAATGGGGGCATCCAAAGAGGACACAGAAGAGCTGCAAAGAGCCGCACGGAGCCACAATCCACCTGCTGAGACAGGAACCTGACGGGAGCCCGTTGTCCGAAGAACGAAGGCGCACTGCGGCGAGGCGCCGTCCGCAAAGTCCGCCTGGACCTTATAAGAGGAGATCTGAGAGGATCTCAGTTCCAGCCATCTTTGGGCTTCCTCCTTCAATTGCCAGAGGCTTCAACGCTCCGTTCTGTCGTTAGCAGCTCTACGATCTCAACGGCACTGCTGCGGCTCTTCTGCCAAGTCACATCCATTATCCACCCGGAAGCTGATTTGCCTTGTCTGGCCTTGCAGGGCATCACAGAAACCCTTCCCAGGCGTCCCTAAAGCCCCCTCATGTGTGCCGCACCCCCTTTCGCTGCAATCTGGGATTTGAACAAACCTTCGCCCTGCTTTCTAGACCCCCGCTCTCGGCCCTGTCGCGAGAAGCCTAGGACCCCCTTCCGCACCTAAGACCTGCAAAGGACAGGCCCGGGCCCAAAGCCCCTGAACTCCTCGAATTCCGACACCAAGCTCCCTGCAGACAAACCTTCAACGCGCTTCTAAATATTTCTACATGTTCAAACCTGGCCAAGGCGGTCGTGCAGCATTTACAAACCAAGCCGGCATTACACACATACTCGCGCAGAGCATCGACAAATGTCCACAGGCTGCGTGCACAGGCTTTGTGGCCCAAAGCCGAGGCAGAACTGCAGGCAAAGGACGCGGGCTAACTGTGCCAGCGGCTGCCAGCTGTCCTGCAAGGCCGAGATGAAGATTGGTTCCACATGCAGAGTGAAGCAGCATGGAGAACCTGTATCCTCACTTGCTTGACAAGGAGCCTGCGGCTCACAAATTCCAAGAAAGCATCCTGTGCGTGCCTCGGCATCAACTGCCAGCTGAAACATGCTGCAGGGCACACCAGCCAAAAGCGCCTGTCAACGAAAGACCTGCCGGGCAGCAAGTAAACAGATCGTGTCCCCATCTTTCAGCGCGCGGTTGGTCGGCGTCTTGGCAGTCACCTCGCGGTTTGATGCTCACATCTACTGAATGCTCAGAGAAAACTCCCCGAACAAGAGAGGGCTGTGTTTAACTCCGTTCCTATATGCACGCTCCTACTCACGCAGACCAGGCACTGGCAATGGCTCCACGTCCCTTTGTGTGTCCATGGAGGGTGAGCCCAAGAATTGGCACAGCTGGAACCTTGGTTTGGGGCCATCTGGTGCAGCCCTTGCAATTCAGAGACCACAAAATCCCTGCACCCCGATGAAGGCGAGCTATATAAATCTGGCTCAAAACATTTCATCTTTCCTCTGAGCGCAACGGCAAGCCACTGCTGCTGCAACTGCCCAGGACCATCGGATGGGCACCCTGCACCCATGTAGTAGCCACTGCCCGATCGCAGGAACCTTGACTTGTTTTTGGGAGGAGGCGTTTTCAGGGTCTTTAAAAGGGTTTCTTGCAATGTTACCACAGAACTCGGCCCAGCTGCACAAAGTCGCCAAACCGAAGAGGCACATCTGCCGGCTCGTGGCTTGACTGAAAGGCGGGAAGAACCGAAAGAACTGCTTGCTCTCCGAGAATTGCCTGGATGTTAAGGCCTTGTCCCGAAAGGTCCCCTGCGGCCTTGTCCCGGCGCTGCTTTGGCGCGCGGGCGCGCGTGGGGCTGCTACGAGCGCGCTCCATCGAGCTGCCATGAGGCGTCTTCGACGTTGGAGTGTACTGAGTCGTTCTACTATACTACTACTCTGCTGGTTGCGGCCCCGCGATTCAATTGGGCATTCAGGAGTTTTCATCAAGTATTCCATGACTCTCCAGGCACTACCTACCAGTCTCACGTCCTGGTCGCATGTACTTTAGCAAACGTGCACTGCTTAGCATGGCCTCGAGCACTGGACACTCCGCCAAGGATGTCCGCTAGCAGTGGCAGCTCAAGCGAGACGTGTCGATCACACGCAGCTGCCTTTGCTTACAGCTATTTGCTGAGCAATACCCTTTATCTGTTCAGGGAACGGTGCCTCGGCTGCACCCTGGCGGCGCATCGGGCAGAAAATCAGAAAATTGCTCATCACGACATCTGTTGGTCGAAATGAACTTAACTGGACAAGTGATGCACGTCTCAAGATGTCTCAAATCACTTTGGAGACTGTCGAGCATTCTGAGCGTTCGGGCCGAGGCCGCATGCCTCCGCGAATTTGGCGATGCGCTCGAACGCCTCGAAGCGCAACGAAGGAGTATACAAGCGTTGACCCTCAGGGAAGGGCAGCCCATGTCCAACTGCCTTCAAAATTCCGAAGACTCCACCCAAGCCATCTGTGTTCCCGATGCGCTTATCCATGCAATAGCCCACAGTCAGTGTGTAGCACTGACCCTGCTCATTAAAGAGCATGGACTGTGCCTGAGGAGGGGCTTCAATCCGCTTGTTCGTTGCAGGGATCGGGCGGCCAAAGTTCAAGGTCCCGGTGTGGGTGCCTGTGGCGCGAGCGAAGAACCAAACTCGATTCGGCTCCAGTGGGTCCACCTGAAACCAGCTGTTGTCTGCCAAGTCTGGCACAGCGTCTTTGAGTTTGAAGGATCCGAAGGCCTTCATGAACTCTTCCTTCCCCAGCGGCCCAATGATGGGTGCTACAAACTGGAAGTCCTCAGCCAAGCTGCCGCTATCCGATCCTGCTGCTGTGCCGAACTCGCTGGCCAGGATCTCCTTGGCCCTAGCGACGAGCTTCTCAGGCGGGATTGGAAACTTGCTCTGCGCCATTGTCTTGTCCACATCCAAATCTCCAAGAACGGAGGTCTCGGAAATATAGACCGGGCTGTTGGAATAGCGCTGTGGGTGCCATGCCACCTTGTTGCGGCTTGTGTTCTTGCCGCTCGAGCAGAGCCTATCGATCACGTCCACAAGACCCAGGGAGATCGCTCGAAGGAGGCTCACCACGACGTCAGTTCCAACCAGGACGATGGCAGTGGAGAGGTTGCCCAAAGCAGACACTGCGGAACCCATTTTGCGCCTTGGTGCCGCCTTGCCTTGCTTGGGTGGGCCAGAAAGGCTGCTGCACAGTACTGCACTCACATAGCGACATAGTGCACACGAGCTTTTGTGCACCCCAAACAGATAGAGTTTAGGCCTCAGCATGAAGCAAATAATGTTGTGGAATAGGGCTCGTCTCTAATGTTTACGGAAGCTCTTTAGGAACATGCTGTTGATGGTTAGGGTTTCAAGGTGTCACCTCCAAACCCCAAAAGTAGAAGAAAAAACAAAAAAAGGCAGCGGGATCAGGTTTCCGCGGCTGCCCATCGCAGGCGGTAAGCAGATTGATCTTATTTGTCCGTGAATTCTGTATCATTCAGCACGCCGAGAACTTGTCATGAGCAGCACTCCATGCAAGCATGGCAACACACAATGCAGCCACAGCTGATCGGCGACTTTTTTGCTGAGCGCGAAGCCCAAAAGATCCATCAAGATCCACGATGAGGCAACCATTGCTCAGTCTTCCAAGCCATTAACATCTAAAGCCCGTGCCAGCCTTTGTGGACGGACGAAACCGGATTTGGGGTAGGTGGAAAGCGCGACGCTGCGCGCCTAACACCCAAACTGCGCACCAGCTGAACTGGGATCGTCAAGCGAAATCTGTCCCTGACACTGCACTTGCTTCGTGTGTCTTTCCGACTCGAGCACTCACGGCGCAGCATCTTTAGGCAGCGGAGCAAGTGGGCTAAACGCTGCTATACGTCGGCCGCGAAGTCTTTGGGATCCTGTGATGCTGTGCTGCCTAACCCGAGGCTAGCTACCCGCATCATACTTCATCTGCCCGGACAGGCCCCTTTGCTGAATTGCAAGCCGTGATGCATTGCAGAGCTGACTTTGGCAGACTCGAAGATGGCTGCACCAGCCAACACAGTTGCTGCACCCACCTAAGAGCCAGGGCATCCAAGAAGCTGCTCCAAATGATTGCTCTCTGCCTTTTGTAACACTCTGTACTCCAGTGGAATCCTTTGTGCCCAAGGGCCCGGCGACGAAGCCAAGGCTTAGACGTTCATGCAAAAAAGCGCTGGACCTGGTAGCTTCTCGGTTTGAGGTGTGAAGAGGTGGTTCAAAAAGAGCTCACGGCTACCGCTACGGCTACTAGTATGCACGAAGAGACGCGAACATCGCTGTTTCGGGACCTTGGAGGTCTTCGGACGCGAAAATCAAGGTAGCGACAACCCCTGCGAATCAGTTGCAAGTATCTTAAATACTTATTGTATTGAGCAACACGAGCCGATTGATATTTGATCGCAGGTGGGACGAATGTCCGAAACGGTGTTGCGCTGTTGCACCGTTGCGCAGAACCCTAACCCCTAAGCCCTAACCGTAAGTTTCGGTGGTCGGCGGCGTACGGAATGAGGCAATCAGTGGTATTCGCTGTGTTTTGTGCAGTTTGTGTTTGGCCTTGTTGTGCTATCTTTGCTCTGGTGTGTTTGGTTGGTATGTTACGTCGAGAAGATTGGGTTTCAGGTCGGCGTTCTTCAAGAGTTGAGGGTTTTCAGGAATCAAATATTTGCGTACGTTCGGCTTCAAGAAATGTAGGTGTGAATTTGGAGCTACAGCTGCTGCTACAACGACGACGACGACTCCTGCTCCTGCTCCTGCTCCTGCTCCTGCTCCTACTCCTAGTCCTAGTCCTTGTCCTTCTCCTACTCCTACTCCTACTCCTACTGCTACTACTGCTACTGCTACTCCTACTCCTCTTACTCCTCCTACTCTTACTTTTATTCCTACTCTTACTAGCTCCTACTCTTATTGTTTCCTACTCCTACTCTCCTCTCCTGCTCCCTGCTCCTGCTCCCGGCTCCTGCTCCCGATCCCACTCCTACTATTTCCCTGCTACGGCTAGCGGTACTGCTGCCACTACGTGCAACTGCTAATGCTACTGCTACCGCTACTGCTTCCAGTGCGACTGCGACGAATATGCGTTCTTGCTGGACCGCAACATGATTCTAAGCAGCACGAGTGTGCTTGATTCATGCGCATGCGCACTGTTTGACGGAAGCTTAAAGACAGCAGAAAATGGGCTCTGGCACATGCGCACTTTTTGGATACTTTTTGGTCTATGTTGCATGTACACAAGCCAAGGAGCTGCTAAAGTGCGATGTTTTCGCAGTTTGCGCTACGAAGTTCCATAACGAGGCCGGTTGGCAGAACTCTGCACGACGACGACTACTGCACTACCACTACCACTACCACTGCCACTGCCACTGCCACTGCCACTACCACTACCACTACCACAAGCACTGCTCCTGCCGGCACTGGCACTAGCACTGGCACTAGCACGACCAACGACGAAAACGAGGCGACAAAGCGATGTCGACCAATGACGACTGCGACCGCGACTGTCACTGCCACTCTTGCTATTTCAGCCACTCTTGGAAGATTCCTGCAAGAACCTCAGACGCAGCCAACAACTCTGTTCAGGGCAGACCAGTCGCAAAGCTGTAACTTCATGTGTTTGCAGGTGACGCATTGCACTGCTTGTAGCGACTCATCCACCTCGCAAGTTACCCTGACTGGCCTTCTGCAGCGTTGACCCCAGGGGCACGCCAAACCCGAAGCTCTAGACGTCACCAATTATGCACGAAGCAGGCCGAACATCCACAAACATCTAACCATCCCTAAATTCATGAAGTATCGACAAGGAGGGCGGGCAGATTGAGTGCCAAGGCTAAGGCAGGGCAACGGTCACCAGGATGTTCAGCTTCCCTGCAATCTGCGCCGCTGCAGCTCCAAGCATCTTGATCAAGACCATACCTTCTTGATTAGGGCTTAGGCTCTTGGGGCTCAGGGCTTTGGGTTGAGGATTGGAGCGATCTACATCTACTTTGTTGATGATGGGTTTGGCCTCAAACATCTTCGTGAGGGGAATCGTTGCACTTCCAAGGCCGCCGCGCCCCCACAAATCTAAGCAGCAGCCCAAAAACAAACGAAGAGCAGAAAGAGAGGTACCAATACGAACAAGTCCACCCATGAAGCTGAGGTAGATCGCGCAAGCCGTGCTGAAAGTCAACCTCAAGGCTGTCGCTTCAGATGCAGCGCTTTTTCTCGAAAGGATGTCCCCATCGGAAACAAGTCGAATCAACACCAACGCCTTGACAACCGAGGGACAGCAGCGCAGTGGAAGCATCCAGCGACAGCAGAGCCAGATAAGGCCTCCAACCTTCCACAGCCAAAGTGAGCACAAAGCCCAGCACAAAGACCTGCAAACAGCAAACGGGGGGGAAGTCAAGTCGAGCAAGTGGCCATAGGTTCCAGTTGCCACCAAAGCACCGCTGGCGATGCCAAGGCCACAAGTTGAGAGGGCTGCAATCGTGGACACGCCTGGCGGAAAAGGGGCTGAGGAGCAGGTCCGGGAGCAAGATTCGTGTTCAGCAGTAGCGGAAGGCTTACATCAGTGTCGTGTGGTCAATAACGTTGGCCCAGCCAGTGAAGTTGCCAAGTCTGCAGCGGATTTTGCCGGCTTGGGGAAGTACGACAGCCCGGTGCGTTGCTCGCCTTCTAACACACTTACGCTGGATCAAGCTTTCGGGCAGCTGCTCTCCTTTGTCTCCTTCCTCCGCGGTCGCTTTCCGCATCCGCAGCCCGAGCGTGCGGACTACTCCGAGGTGCGCCCCCCTCGTTCAGCTTCTACTCATGCCAAGCAACGACTCACAGGCTCGAAGCCAACGCCAAGGAACACTTTGCCCAAACCGGAACGGTAGAAGGCAAGGAAGAAGCGGCACAATCGCATCAAGTAGATTTGGTGTCATTGCATGTGCACGTTCTGCCATTGAAAAAGTGTGCCTCATCTGCTTCGTACTTATTCATCTGACAGTCCATGAGGACGGATCGAATTGACCGCGCGAAGAGGGCACCTTGACTGGAAGGTGGAAACCTTCAAAATGCCAAAAAACCGTTGGATGCAGCTGCAGCAACTTGATGTTGCTAGTGTCCTGAGTGTCCTGTGGCATCCAAGCGACCAACACCCAGGCTCATGCCGAAAAGCGCCAGGGAAAGCGGCTCCCCACTTCGAGCTATGCTCTTCAGGCCCTCAACGGAAATTATGGCATCCTGAGCCAAGAGCACCATGAGCACTTCAAACAACCTTGAAGCAGCCTACACTTGAAAAGAACATGTTTAAACCCGCGATTCCCATGTGCAAGCCAGGTGGCCCCGGCAATCGCAGTTACCTGAAGCCCGCAGGTCAGGTACAACCGAAAGCAAACAACCAAGCAGAGCCTCCCGAAGAATTCATAGATAGTTCTATAATGCGGGGCCTACAGTATAACAGGCAATGATTCTCAATGACTGCACTGGTCTCAGACGTATTTAAGCACCCAAACTCTATCTCAACCATTGAAAGAAATCAGCTCTTAAGCCCGACATCCTGAACCCCCTACAAACTATTACAACAAAGTCTTTACGTTTCACTTCGACAAAACTCAGAATGCTCTCTCGGAATTTCATTTCGGAAAAGTCTGCCTAAACATCTTGTCTGCCTTGCCTTTGCCTTCGCCTTCGGCATGCGTCTGGCCTACTCTGGTTTGCAACTGCAGTTGAGTACTCACACCCTCCTCTCCCTCCTGCTTCTCCTGGTCCCACTCCTCCTCATGCTCCTCCTCCTTCTGGATGCAGCTGCGAAACGGGCCTCTGCTCACACCTTCCGCGACCTGCCTCTCACAGGCACTGCCCGCTGGGTTCTCTCAGACTCTAGGAGCTCTTCGCAACAATGTTCCTGCCTGCACTGAATGGTCTGAACTTTTTAGCGATTGCTGAAAGTCCTGGCCTAGCTTAGGGCTCCCAATGCGAGGCAGCCTTTTCGTGCTCTTGGTGCTTGTGGGCCATCATCACTCCTGGGAGTAGCTCTCCTGTCCTCCTGTCCTCTTTCGTGGCCTCTTATCTGGTGTTTTCTGCAGCACAAGGGTGCAGACAGAACAGATCAGTTTCGGAATGAATTAGAGCTCAAAAGCACGGCCACGTCACTATGCCCACCCATGCCAAGGAAGTGATGTGGGCGCCAAGCGTTGCAGAGACCAGGGCCGTGAGAACCTCCAGCTCTCCCGACTGGTGAGGGCTTTGGAATTTGAAGCAGCCGGCACTTCTCAGGCCATGGCTGGGCAGAGTATGCCAATGATGGCATTGAACCCAGCACCAATGTACATCAAGGATGAAGTGTTCCTGCGTTTCACAAGATTGGTTACACAGTTGACCTGCCAGAAGCCATTTCACAGAAGCAGACTTTGCTCACACTGCATGCAGACAAGGTGCAAAACGACATTCAAAGTCTGGAGTACTGCGATGGGCAGAATCCGCTTGAAGTACCAAGCTGCATTGTCGCGAAGTGAAGCATCCTGGGCCTCGAGTCAGCTCTAGACCGAACAGCCAGGGAAGCGTTGGCTGGAATCTCCCACTCGCCCCAAGGCAGCGGCCAGGCCAAGAAGCTTATCCTGCGCGGCATTCAGCGGGTATGTGAAACAAGGTTCAGCCGATTCGGTGCCTTGGCAACTGTTGCCGACCGCCGCTCAACGACCCAAGCCGATAGCCAAACGCACAGGAAGTGCAGCGAAGCCTTTCAGCATCATGGTGGAAGTGGCTAATGACAGGGGGGACTTCGGCACAGCGCTCTGGAAAGATCTTTCGTGCAAGCAAGGCAGCAATGCATGTAGGGTACGCAAACCCATTCTGGAGCACCTGAGGAGTGTCAAGCTTTGTCCAGTTTGCCCGGCACAACATGTCAGCGTCTAACTGTCTCACCGGGGCGCTAGTTTGGTAGACAGCTGCACACCCATGATTGCCATGACCTGCCGCTTCAAGGACACTCTGAACCATTCTGTTGCCCTGCATCCCGCAATCCCACCTGCGTGCTGACCACCGCAACACCCGAAAGTCCATGGCTTCGGTAGGCGCAAGCAATGCCTGCGCAGGTCCCCAAGTCTGCCGGAGCAGCTTTGGCGTGAAGCCGATGCAAGTGTCATGTGTGCCTGCGAAGATGCTACCGGTGAAGAGCAGCGCCACCCACTGCGGTAAGATCACCCCTTCCGACAGGAGCTGGAAGGAGTCGAAGCCACCTTGGTGACTCCGAGCTCACCCTAGGAGCCCATTGAAAGCCCGTCCCGCTGAGGCAGGAGCCAGAGCCCATCATGGCGGCTGATCGGGCAGGCACCCCCCGAGCTTCATTGTGCTGAGCCGAACAGGGAGCGAGATCTCAGTGAACGCACCCTTTCCACGCTGTGGACAGAATGAGACGGCTATCCGTACAAGGTTTTTGCATCGCACAAAAGCTGTGCACGATCAATGTCTGCCTCTAAATGGAGCCATGCGTTTTGCACGGATTAAGTTTGATGATGCTAGCTACGCGTAGGATAGATGCGGGCATTTGCGCATGCAGTGCTACTTGGTCTCAGGCAACAGCAGCCCATGCTTCCGTTTGCAAACAGCTGCTGCGTTCCTTCCGATGCGCAGGGTTGGGAATAACAGGTTCTGCCAGAACTCGCATGGTACACAAAGCAAGACATGATTCCAAGCAGCTTCCCTGACCTATCCGGGCACCAGATGCAAAGGCGATAACGCGCAAAAATGCAATATAGACAAAACCCCACAAAGTCGCGACCAAGCCTCGCGCGGGGTCCTACTGGCCGCCGCCCTGACAGTCCCAGAAACAGCAGCTACGGCGGGCCTCGCTCGTAGCAAGTGCATACCCTGCTGAACTCAGCTCACCAAACTGCAACCCGGCTGCCAGAAACAGAGATTGTTCGTTCGCCTGCGACGGCAGACAAGCTCGAAGACAAGCGAAAGCTGATATCAAGCAACATCAGGCGACCTCAATCTCAATGTTGAAGGACTCCGGCTTTGGAGAGAGAACCTTCAACAAGTCATGCGGCCTCCTTAGCACGTCAGGCGAGTAGAAAGCCATCGGCACGCAGCCACGATTGTCAACAAGTCCGAAGCCTGGAAACCTGAAACCTGAAGGTGCCAACATCCGCTGGGAGTCAACTCGGAAGTTAGGTTGGTGGCCGCCATCCTAGCCAACACGAAGGCTCGGAGTTTAGGACTTGGGGATGTTTAGGGATGCAGCTCAAAGCACCTGGATTGGTCCACCAGCATCACCTGCGAAGCACTCACCATGGCGACCTCACAGGGAGAATTCGTGCATGTTGCTGCATCAGAAACATGTACCCCGCTCACAGCGGTGTAGGAGGCGTAAGGTAGTGTAAGGCTTGGACGCGTTGCATCGGCACTTGCCTGAAGGATGGAGCTGGAGCCTCCGAAGGACATCATCTGCCAGCAGCATGATTCAATGCCGAAATGCTGAGAAGGCCAAGCCCAGTGGGGTCCCGTGGTGCCAACCTCTGTAGCAACTGGCAACACAGCAGCCTGCACACAGGGCGGCATTCCAACTCTGCTTATTTTGGAGCTGAGCTGAAGAACGTCCGTGCCTTTGGGATGTGGGTGCGCGGGTACGATGCGGCATGCGGGTAGGATGCCAAGATGTTCTCAGCCTTGCCGAAACACACGGGGCTTTTCGGCCCAGGGAGGGAGAAAGAGAGGGAGAGAGGGAGGGAGAGAGAGAGAGAGTGAGAGAGAGAGAGGGAGAGAGAGAGAGAGAGCCAGAGCGCTCTTCACATGCCGAACAACCGCTGCCTTCGGAACGGGGGCGAGCATGCTAGGGCCCTTCGGGGCGGGCAGGCTGGGGAGCGGCTGGATCCCAGGTAACGATCGTACCACCGGCGCCTCACAGACTCTCAGGGATTTCGATTCTTGAGGGCGACTTTTTGGCATGCCAGATAGTGCCTCCGGGCTGGAGTTTCGCGCCTCACTGCTGGAAGGCTTGAAGAATTAAGCCGGAAAGCTCACGAAAGTGATTTGCCGCTTGCCTCCGTGCGGTTGTTCGCCTGGCACTGGTATCGAAGCTCTTCATGCTGGTGGAACCAACAGCCTTAGATACCTTAACCCTCCTGAACCCCGCCCAATCCTGACAAGGCTTAAAAAATGACAGCCGACTGGTGGAGTGGCCTGGCGCACGGCCTTCTCCATGGCTTCCCGCCGCCTCTCCTGCGCTGAGAGTCGATAAGGAGTCATTGGCAGATGCGTCAAGTTGTCACGTCTTTTCTCGCATTACAGAACCCCAGCGAATGGAGGCACGGCACGTTTGGTCCTGTAGTGCAGAACCTTGTAGTGGGAAGATGATCGCAAAGGATTCCGATAGCACCAGGCACAATACCCATAGATCCCAAAGCTTGCAACAGAAACAACGGAACGGTACTAGCAATCGCTGCAGTGGCGAAGGCGCACCGCGGCAGAACCCTCATGCCTGGGCAATTTGGCAAAGCCAAATTCCCTTATTACTCAGGGCTAAGAACCAAAAAGATTCTCCAGAACTCCTGCTCTTCCTTCACCGTGTCAGACAGAAAGTTCTCCATCCTTAGGCGGGCAGCTTTCACCGCAAAATGAGTACGTCAACGGACTCCGGACTCCCGCACGTCCCGCACGTCACAGCCAAGCTTCTTGGCTGAGAAGAACGACACTTGCTTGCCATTCTTCATGGTCGCAGAACCGAGAAGCCAACGAATTCAACGAGTCACATGCGGCTTAGGCGAAAACAGAGTGATTTGCCGGTCATCTCTCCGTGAAAGAAGGTTTGCGCGGAAACAATCAGCTCCACAAAAGAAGACGAACTCTGCACTGATCGTTGATTAAGGGACTGCGTGGGCTGTCTAGGACACAAAGTGGTGTGATTGGACAAGTCTTGCTTGTTTGGACATGCGTGCACTTGAGCCTCGAAGACAAGCAATGAGCAGATTGAAGCACTGGCTGCGCCTGTGTCTTCAAAACCATCTGGACTGAACCTGCAAACTGATCCTGAGATATTTTGCCCGGCGACCACTGCAACGCAGCAGCAAGCATGCTCATTGGCTCTCATTGGCTGCACTCCGACTTTCTGACTGCAGCACTCAATCCCTTAGCAGAAGCTCACAACGAAATGCGCAGACATCCAATCAGAACGAAGGCCTCAGGCTCCTGCGCAGGGACCGGTGGGTTGTCGAACAAAGCCAAGACCTGTCGCACCACGTGAGCTGACTTCGTGGCAATGCGCAGTAGAGGCTGCAAAGATCTCTGCAGAACCTCTGCACAAGAACTGCTCAGCAGGCACCCCTTACCACCTCTCGGGTGTCTGCGCCGGCACTTAGCGCGGCCAGGGCCTTAACCACTGCCCTCTGGACACGATCACTGATCACAGCACGCCGTAAAATACCCAGCCAAGTCCAAAAAGCCGAGCCCAAGCAACGACTCAGCTGCTGACAGCGGAGGATGACCTCGCTGCAAGACGATGCCACTCATGACGACACTTCATGGATGAAGAGTGCCACCGACAATCTTTCTGAGGAACGCAGCGCCTAGCAACTCTCAAATAAAGCACGATCATGCAAAACTGATGGCATAACATGTGCTTTTCAACTTGCGAGTCTTCTTTTGGGGATCAGGGCTTGTCACCCCAACATCTCCTTCTTGGGCTTGCCACCCAAGATCTCTTTCAGGGGTTTGGGTTTGCCGCATTCCCTGCCAGACCTAAAGGTCTCTTTTTTGGGGGGCGTAGAGTTTGCCACCCAACATCTCCTGGGACAGCGTATGAGGATACCACCTAACATCTCCTTTTAGGGTTGTTGGGTCTGGCACATCTCCTTGTCGGGTTTGCTGCCTCCCCGCAGCCGGGCACGGGGCATTGACGTGGCAAGGGGTAGAGCCTCGAGGCCTCGAGAAGCAAAAAAGTTACAATGTTACAAGCTAACCTGGCTACCCTCCAGGTGCAGGTCGATTGGCATGTGTATCCTCAGCAGCGAATCAAGACCAGACTTTGCATTGTGTTGCTAGGGAGGTTGCAAGTACTCTTGATTGGTAGCTCGTGCATCTGCTTCACCAAACCCCTAAAGGAGACTTTGGGCGTCATACCCCAAAAGCCCTAGAATGAGAGATTGGGCAAACCCATAAGGAGAGATGGTATGGGCTGGGAAGCCTGCAGGGTTCATGCGAGCTGGGAAGGCCAGAAGCCCAAAAAGGACATCTCTCGGGAGAAGCTTGTAGAGCGCTTCGGTGCCCGCGCACGTGCTCAAGCCGAACTGGTAGGGCATGCATGCCGCCTGAAGCTCTTCGGCGAATTGTGGGGCCAAAGTACGGGCAACAAGGCGGCGAAAGACATCCCCAACCACCAGGGCGCGGACACGGCCATTCGGCTTCCGGAGCGTGACGATGCGTCCAAGACGCGCGGCTGCCAGAATGGGCGCCGGCACGTCAGCGTTGGCGAACCGGAGTGCTGCTTGGTGGAGCAGGCTGAAGTCACCGGGGTCGTCCAACATCAAACGAAGGTGCTCATTCGTCATGCCGGAAGGGCCCGCCGCCGAGCCTCGCCGAGCTGAACGCAGATTGGCCAGCAGCAACGTGTCTGACATGGGACATGGCCCCGCGACATGGTTGAGCACCGCCGGGCTGAGCGGCACCACTGGCGTTTGGGGTCGGCGGCTGGGATCCCGCAGTTCGGCCAGCGTGGCCTCGTTGCCGTCGGCCGTGAGAGCCCGACTCGCTGCGGAGAGCTCGCCGAGGTGGACGAGCGCTGCAGCCCGCGCCGTGCGACGGTCGGAGTCATCCTCTGCGAGCGCGGGAGTGGAGGGGCAGGCTGCGCGGAGAAGGGAGGGCAGGGCTGAGGGGCGCGAGGAAAAAGAGCTTCCAGCCGCGTGCAGCGGCATCCCGCCCAGCGCCGGAGACGGCTTGCTCCAACCCTGTCCGCAGCGCGAAGCGGAGGACGCCTCGGAGCTGGGTTGGAGCGCTTTGGAGCGTGAGTGCGCGTCGGCCGGGTGACTACGTTGGCAGCACATCATGCACATCCCTGAAGCCGGCAAGGGCCACAAGATGACATCATGCACTGCGCACTGCTTGTGTATAGAGTGAAAAGAAGCGAGTGTCAATAACTAACCGTGAGGAAGGAGACTTGCGACGACAAGAAACAGGAGCGACCAGAAATGTGATAAACAAGCGTTGCAGCATCAGCATGGCAGCACTCACAGAATATAAGTAAGAGTAAGTGCACGGAAGCAGAGTATTCATGTGGACTGTGGGAAGTCATTGCTGCCCTGAACGGTGATTCTGACAGCGGTCTCACGCAAAAACCGATCAGCGATGTAGGCATCTACCAACTCAATCACATGCTGATAGACTACTAATGCAGCAAGGCATGCGTGAGGGCCCTCCAAACGAACGCTGAGCAGTGCACGCCGCATTCGCAGTGGGCCTTGCATGGCATTGCCAAGTAAAAACACCAAATCTTTTCCATCCTGGGAGGCAGATAGAGAGAACACCCAAAGTGCAACCCCCACCCTCTACACTAAGCCTGAAACCCTAAACCCTCTTAAAATCCTCGGCCCTAAACCCTCCTAAACCCTTCCATGGCATTCCTTCGCCGGCCTCGCATTGGAGCTCACACTCGGAGCGGGGCTCGGCCTTTCTCTGCGCTCGAGGTCGATTCTCATGAGCTCTTTTCGGGATGAGTCAGGGTTCAGGGTTTTGGGGGATGATGACAGGATGTGCAATATCTAGGACTCTAAGAATTCTAGGAATCTAGAGTCTCACCATCACGCAGGAAAGACAGCACTCGTCAAGGTCTGTGCTTTGGAGGCGTCCGGGCGACTCCCAGGCGTGCTTCTTCCAACTCCACCCACTGCCTGCACATCTTCACGACCATAACCATCAAATTCTATTGCTCTCGATACGCCAGTCTTAACAACCCGAAGCACAGCATCGCACACCGCCAAAAGCGCGCCTCAAGTAGGCCAGGCTCTCCGCCTCTGCATTCGCAACTGTGCCGACGGCAACCTGCTGCAGCTGCGGAGCTGCGTCTTTCGAGCAAAGGTCCGCTTAGCTTGTACACCATTCGGGCAAAGGATGTGTGGAAAGCTCATTGGAACAGATGGGCATGCCTCCTTCTGCTCTGCGGCAGTGCGAGACGGAGTGGACACCGCCTTTGACGGCAGCAACTCGTCCGAGCTTGCTCAGGCTCGAGACTTGAAGCCCACTACATCCCTGCAGAGACCTCTTGTGTACAAGCAGAAACAAATATAAACTCGGCGTACATCCCAAAACTAAGTTGCCACCCCTGGCCAAGAGCACCACTTAAGTTTTCAGAGGACGTCCCAACTTCTTTTGTTCGGCGCAAAAGCGGTGCGTGCTCACTGTCCTCCTTTGTTCCGAAACAAGGTCATGACAAACTCGACCTTCTCCTTGAGCACTTTGTGCTGGAAGGTGCCGTTAGTTTTCCTGCACTTGGCCTCCTGGCTGTCCATCGTGCCCTCATCAGGTCTGTCCCGCTTGGTGTTCTCGCTCTCTCTGGTCAGTCTCAGCTTGCTTCTTCTGCTGCTGGCTTCATTCCGAGCTTGGTCTTCATCGGGGCTCTTGAGCCCACCTTGCTCCAGCTCGTTCGAGCCTTCCGCAGCCATGTTTGCAGCCTCGTCTCCCAGTTGGCTGCGTAACTTGGTGGCCAGTGGACAATGCACAACAAAGCACTCTGGAATGCACTGGAAGTGCTTCCACTGCAGCACAGGAGCCACAAGATCGAAGACCTCTGGGCCCTTCTCCTTACGCTCCGCATGCAGCCATAGCAGGCGGCTGCTTGTAGTATCAACTCTTTACAGACAAACTGTGACAAACAAGCTCTTCATGGAAGCATCATCTGCAGCCTGGGCTCTGAAAACTCTACTCCTGCATCCAGGCCACCCATAGGTAGGGGGGGAAGCTACTTATGAGTTCCTACATGGGGATAGACCTGTCCGTGGTCCCAACCCGAATCCCAGCCACGGAAGCCCTCACGTCTGGGCCACCAATCCGTGCTCATGGTGCATGGACGCTGGCAAAAAACAAAAACAACCAGCGACAGCACTCGCAGGCGGTAGGCGAACGGCAGGAAAGTCATCGGGCAAAAACAGAATACAGTACAGAAAAATGTCCGGCGACATTGCCCATGTGCAGCATGCAAACATATGTGTGCATGTATGTATGTCTGTCTGTCCGTCTGTCTGTCTGATGAACCGACAAGAGAAGATGCGGCGGTGCAAAGACGACAAGATGTGATTTTGACAGACCCACTGTGATAGAGCTGGGCCCTTTTGCCTGTTTTTTATCGCTCTTCATGCACAAGATTCACAAGATGTGTATCGGACGGAACATCTGGGTGTACACTTCGGATGCGCGGCAGTTGCTTGTCAGTGCGGTTCCTGACTATGCCTTTGGCCGGGCCAGACATTACTTTGAACATGTCAACGCCCCGTCTTCACAACCACCCCCATGGGAGCGCGTTGATATTGCAAGAAAATACGCGATCTCAGGGACCTACGCACTCTTGTCGGTACGGCAAGATCCAACATACGCCAGAGTATTGAGTACGCATGTGGGAATGCTGGTGCAGATAACGGTCATCTCTCGAAAACCCGGCAAATCTAATCATGCGTGACGTCCACGAGTTGTGACACCTGACCCACATGGCTCACAAAGCGTCAGCAGCCTTCGTCCGCTCAGAATTGTCTAGAAACGAACAACTTCTGTTTTGCTGTTCATTCTGGCAAGGGAAGCGCACTGCCGGCGCCCGATGCCACGAAATGAATTCTGCCAGAACTGATCGAAGTCATTGTCGGTTGGGGCCGCGTGGGGGCTGGGTGACACCCTAACAATTAGCCGGCATGCCACTACAAGTAATGAAGCCTCCAACTCCACAAAACACAGCACGCACGGGAGCCTTTGATGTAAAACTTGTATGCCATGACCATGACTGCGTCAACGACACCGCCATCGACGTTGCCAACGTCATGCATCTCCTCTGTTGCTGTTTAAAGAGTGCACCGTCATAATCGTAGTCTAGATATGTCACAAAAACTCCCAAGAACGCCCAGGTTCTGCCAGCTGCAAATAGAACCGGAGTGCAGTTGTTGGGATGACTTTCCTCGCGGAAGCAGATTCGAGGTGTTGGGAAGTCTGTTTTGGGCTGTCAGTGGCCTTTGAAATTGTTGGCTTCTTTTTGGGGGGGGCATGTTTTGCAACAGATTCGCGACAAACTCGTGCATTCTACAATAAGAGGGGCACTGTTGGTGAATGTCCGGAGGATTAGGTTGGCGACTGCTGAATCTGTGCCTTGGGTCCAAATGTTTGTAGGCTTTGGGGTCAACGTTCTTTATGCACAGAGGGAGAACACAGCAACCAGCTCGAGACCCAGGTCCTTGCAGCATCTCGCGATTTTTGCTGCGCGTTTCTCTTGGCATTTTGCCACTCTGGCAGGGAAAAGAGATAGTCAACCAGTCCTGAGCAAAACGCTCCGAGGATCTCTCCTACATTCTGTAGCGGCTGTGGCTTCCTGATGCTTCCTGCCTTCAAATCTAGTCACTGGCTGGCATGCTATCTGGGTCACAGCATTGTTGGGGATGCAGCAGGCCACTGAGTCTTTGGCATTCGGGCAGACAACAAGACAAGCATCGGCTGACTTTCTTCTCAATCTGTATCTTCGGGGACCACTGCTCATAAGCGAAGTCGAAGCCAAGAAGATACATCATTTGCGACTCGACCCTCAGCTTGACGAACATGAACAGGATGAACAGGTCTGATTCTTGGAGACTCGCATGATGCCGAGGCACCCTAGGAAGCGGGTGACAAGGAGATCATGGTCCTTCTCACTCAAGTCATGGGTGGATGCTGGGCAGCCTCACAACATGCAACAACCAAGGCATCGTCGGACACGCTGACACTTGGGGCTTGTGGCGTGCAATGGCGTGCGTGCACTTTTGCCACCTTCGCATGCAACGACATCATGGAACTTTGTGATGATCTTCGCGCGTTTCGGCAAGCCGGAGATCTTGAGACTCAGAAAAACTGCTCCCAAAGCGACAACCTCAGTACGGACATGTTGAAGCAGTTGCTGGTTGCAAACGAATGGGGAAGTCGTGTGCTGCAATGCAAGAGAGGAGACTGAATCCTGAAGCTTGCTGTAAACTCCCCACCGATACATGAAGCCGGCAAGAAAGATCAGAACGGCACAGACTCGGACAGACAAGGGCGGGATCGGGCATGAGGTACAGCACGCCCCATACCTGTGACACAAACTCCAAGAACCCTTCAGAACCGAACCAACAAGCCAAGCGCCACGAACCTGAACCTAGGAATACGACGCTGCCAGACTCAGTGATTCGGCAAGCTCTGAAGTAACCGAAAAATTCAAGGACCAGACAACAGGCAACCTGGCACCTATTGAGAATAGTAGGCTCAGCCATAGAGTCCAAGGCGGAGGCCAAGCCAAGGGACAGGCCAGTCTTCCCGCTGGCCCAGGTACGTCTTTGGTCTAGGGTCGTAGTAGCAGTGCACACACCGAAAGCAAGTTAGCTGAATGAGCGGAAGGAGGTCGGCATCGGCGTCTGACTTTTTCTCCTGACGAGCGGGCAGCTCCACGTAGAAGCCGGTGCAAAAGCGCTTAGAGTCTTAGGGCAACCCTGAGAGAATAACAAAAACCGACCATGGAACAGGGTCCGGCACTGACCACGTTTTGAAAAGATCTACGGCACATGTCACCGAGGAGCCACCAGCATGCACAGGCACACATGACACTGCCCCCGCGTTTGAACAAGACACTGTCCCGAAACCTGAGTACTACTATCCACTGTATGGTTACACTGTGATGCACGGCAGTGTTAACAAGGTGTGGCATTGCTATACTGATGTACTCTTATACTTTGATGCTGTGACACTGTGAGAATGGCGTGTTGCGCTGCCTCAACCGTTTCTTCTCGGACGGTTCCCGCCAAATAGGGCATAAAGGTCCCACGCACATATTGGTATACTTATATCTTGTGACGTTGTGATTCCGTGTAGTTGCTATCTTGTGATACGTTGACATTGTGAAGCTGCTATCCTGATATCTTCTTATTCTGTTACATTGTTATCTTGTGGTACTGTTACATTGCTATCCTGTGATATTGTAACTTTGTGAGCTGTTATACTGCTATTTACATGTTTCATATTGTTTTTATTGTAACATTGCAACTTTGCAATATTGCAAAACTGTCATATGCCAAGATGGTAATCTGAAATCACTGTCTTCTTGTTATCTTGCTACTTTGTTAGATAGTTCATCGCCGGCATCCGCCTCCCTCCAAAAAATACCGACAACGATGAAGTCCATTGGTTCCAACCACAGCGCCGACAGGTTGCCCACACTCGTCCGCAATTTTGCGTCCGAGCCCTCCCCCGCCCCAACAACAACCCCCAACCCCGACTCTGGTCGGAGGCTGCAGACAGCTCGCTGAATATGACTCCTTCCTTCAAACCTTTGAAAGGGACACACTGGGCCCTCCCCGCCCGCCCCTGCCGCATCTCACCCTCACCACTCATGGGGAACAAGTGGGTGACGCACCACCCACCCCCCCCCCGCCCCCCAAACCTGGAGATTCAGTGTCAAGAGGCACCATGTGCCGTGCGTGGGGGCCCCAAGAAGCCATCATAAACATCAGTTTGAACCCATGAGCTCCAATCATGAGCACCAGGCACGCTGACCCTCTGGCTGATTCCTGCGCTGCCTGCCCTTGGGCGTAGCGCTTGGAATACTGTTATACCTGAATATGTTGTTATCCATATTACTGTCTGGCTGTTGTGGGGCTAGATTGTTCGGTTGCGGTATTGTTGTATTGAAGTCTTATATGCTACACTGTTATACGGTCACACTGTCCTCTTGTTATATTGCAAGTTTGCCACATTGCTGTGTTGTTGTCTTGTTGTGTTGTGGTGATGCTTTGTTGTTGTCTTGCTATGCTGCTATTTTGCTATATGGCCAAAATGTTGTATTGCTATATGGTTATGTTGCGAATGTATTTGATGCTATATAGTTTTTTGCCATATTGTTCTACTGGTATGTTGTTGTAGTACTACTAAAGTGTCATATCCTTATTTCGCGAAAACCGTTGTATTGTTATATTGGTGCACTGTCATCATGTGATCTTGTTATATTGATGCACTGTCAACATGTTGTAGTGCAATATTGTTACATTGTTATATTGTTATATTGTTACATTGTTACATTGTTATATTGTTATATTGTTATATTGTTATATCGTTATATTGTTATAATGTTATATTGTTGTATTGTTGTATTGTTGTATTGTTATATTGTTATATTGTTATATTGTTATAATGTTATATTGTTATATTGTCATATTGTCATGTTGTTATATTGTTAGCATGTTGTCAATACTTATATTGTGAGATTGTTCTGTTGCTCTATTGTTGTGTGGTTATATTGTTGTATTGTTCTATTGGTATATTGGTATTGCTTTGTTGCTGTATTGTTGTCTTGTTATATTGCTATCTTGATTTGTTGCTGCATGTTCTATTGTTGCATTGCTATGTGAAGTTATAATGCTGTATTGTTATCTTATTATTAAGTTATCTTGTTGAAATGGTTATACTGGTCAATTTGTTCTTGCTTTATTGTTATGCCGTTAGACTCTTAGACTGTTGTATTGCAGATATATATATATATACATGCATATACATATACATACATTTGTGTGTGTGTGTGTGTCTATGTGAAATGTATTTACTTCTTCTTCTTCTTCTTCTTCTTCTGTTGACATACGGATGTGTGCATTATCGTGCACTCGATGCTGCTTATAGTAATTGTGTTCAGAACGGAGTACTGCAAGGTCCAAGTCACGGACTCGCCCGCGATTTTCGCGGCGATCTTCTTCGCGCGCACACAGGCGTGGCTGCATTGCTTCTTGAGCTGCTCGAGGTCAACCCCATCATCCTGGTAGCTACTTGGCTATGTGATGGAAGACACCTCGAAGGAGGGGTTTACAACAACATTACATTGTACATCTTGACACCAGTGGTGTCTTCGGCACAGCAGCATCTCGCGTGATGCCAGCAACCTCGACTTGTTCAGACGTGGGCAATGCTGTCGGCGTCGGTGGTTCCGGCGTTGATGCTGGTACGGCAGACGAAGGAGTTGCAGGTGGACCAGGTACCACGGCAGTTGAAGCAGCCGATGTGGAAACCGCTGTTGACTCGCGCGTGTCTACCATACCGCATGCCCAAACATGCCGGAAAGCCAGCACACAAATCCCACAAGCCCCAACTCTACAGGGCAACGGGTCCGCACACTTAAAACTACATTTGCCTATGCCTCCATTGAATGCACGTAGCAACTCGCGTGAACTATCTGTCAGTGCATAAAAGGGCTTCGGCTTAATTTGTTTGGAAACTGCCCCTGGATGATTTTGCAATGCAGCGTTTATGGATAGATCTTGTCCATCTTCTTCCTGTTGATTGGCTGGCTTACATGGATGGCTACGCCTTGAATGCAGGCCTGATCCTGCATGGTACTACAGAACGCTGCGACCGGGAAGCCTCAAGATAAGCAAACTTGCTGACAAGATTGGTCCCTGCCTCCACCCACCCCACACATGCAACACAAGTGCTGAGGCGAAACGACATGCGACCACCTGCGCCAGCCAGCTCCGCACCCCTTGCCTTCTCACGAACGATGTCTTTGCCACGTACGGGCGGATGACGCCTGGATCTCTCCTGACCAACCATGGGAACGTGCCCGCTTGATGTTCATGGCAGCTGATAGAAGTTGCGAACGACTTGCTGAGAGCCAGTCTGTCATCATTCCTGAAGAAAGGCAACATACGATACTGCTGCGAAGAGCCGAACTTCAGCCGAACAGAGCTGTTGCCTTGACTAGACAGCGCTGGCTTCAACGAACAACATGGAATGCAGTTTGTTTATTGCAAAGCGTGTTTAGAGCTTGCTAGTTCAATTCGCGACCAAAGAAACCAAGCAACTCCACTCCCCTGTCATGTTCAATGAGGCTACAATCTATGACTTAGTATGCGGAAATGGCCTGATGTGACTGCAGGGCTGCGCAGCAGTCGCCTCTCTGCATTCTGCACCTGCCCGGTGGTCAGAACTCTCTTTACTTCGTCGGCCGGCAAAGTGTGTTCATGGCGACTGAAGCAAGAACCCTGCCAGCGTTTTCCTGCTCAGACATGAAGCATCGCAGTTTGCGCGAAAACTTCTAGGCTGTCGGGGTCCCGGTTTTTGGAATATAAATGATGACCTTGGCAAACTTGAGGCTTTCCCACTCCCCTCTCCCCATTTTGGGGCTTCCACGGTCTCTTTGGTTCTCTACACGCGAAGCTCGGATCCCTCAACCTCACGAAAACGCCCTGAACGACAGGGCCCCAGTTTGATGGGCCTTCTCAGTCAGCATTGTATGCCTCTTTCGCAGTCCTCGCATCTTCTCCCGACTTTGCTGGACCTACAAAGGCGCGGAGAGCCTAAGATGAGGGCGCATGGCCGGCTGGGGCAATCGTGCGCCAAAGTGGCAGCCAGTGTCTTGACCCACTGTCTGCATCTACATTCCAGGTGTCAGGACATCAACTGTTGTGGTTGGTGTAGAGTCTGTCTTCTTGCTTGGCCGTGTTCCTGCACTTTGCTGGCTGCCATATGCCCCAGGTTTAGAGTTTAAGTCCAAACCAGCGTAAAAGCAACGTCCGCAACCCCGCCTCCTGCAACAAGCTTTCTTTGTGCTGGCGGGCACGCATGGTCTCACATTGCGCATCCTCGCCAGGAACCGGCAGACATTGTGATTGAGCTCCAGCGCTGGACCCCTTTCGATTTTATAAGGCTGTCCTCGAGATGGGCCTCCAGCTCTCGTGTCCGCCTCCTGACATCGCGAATCACATCAACTCCAAACAAAGCCCTACTCAACCCTAATCAACCCTTTTTCACCTCAAAAAAGCTCTAACTGGCCTTAACTGGCCCAAAATCCGACCAGGAGCGAAACCCGAAACCCGAAACCCGCCGGTACGAGTACCACTCAGGCCTGGCAGTGTCAAGACCTGACTCCATGGCGCGCAGCTTTGACTGGATTTCAGCCGTCCCGGTAGACACCTAGCAGAGATCACCATGCGAGTGTGCTCTCTTATGATACCTTTGCATAATAGGATTATATAAGATTCCTCATAGCCGAAAACTTGAGCGACCCTCCGTGCTGGATAAAACTTTGCAAGCTTGCAGTACGTGACATAGCAAATGCGGCAAACTCAAAAACAAAGAGAGGAAACTTCTCTGATCACAGCTCCACGTTCACATCTCAAAGATTCATCCCCGTGCAGCAACACACCTCTTCCCGCTCTTGACGGAGCTTCTCAGTACTGACGAAGACGCGCTGCAGCTCCTCCTGCAAAGGAAGCTGCAGGGAATTCGGCTCGGCTACGTGGCTACACTGTGGCTACGCTGTGGCTACGCACTCCATCTTCAGCGCGCAGAATGTCATGCAGCGGCACTCCACATGCGATGCCAAGCTGAATCCCTGGCGGTCTCCCTGAAGACCGCAACCAGATACATTTCAATCACGTGTGGCCTCCTGTCCCTCTACTTAGTGCATGACGGTCCTGGAGAGAGAGGCTCACGGTATTCGCGCCCTGAGAATAAAGGGCGTGCACATGTGGACAAAGAGGCGATCAGCACGCTGCCAGCGCGCCAGCATACGTATCACACAGCCACGGACGGCCTTGCTGCTCTCCTCGAGTTCTTGCAGAACGCACCTTGATGCAAGAAGCAGCTAGATGAAATTAGCCTGCTTGTCATGCCAGGTGAGCTAGCCTCGAGTGGGAGCATCACCCTAAGCATCCGTCGACACGGTGTGCTATCATGTCTTCGAGACATTACTGCCAGCACATCAAGTCCATCTCAAGCCATATCTAGCATGTCATGTCAAAGAGCCCAAGTCAAGAAGCCTGCCAAAGGCTTCAGACACTATGGACTTGAACATGTCACCAAAGTCAGCTGAAGCAGCTAGAGATACACCAACTACACCTCCATGCTGCCTACAGCGGAGTACAAGCTGGTTTCTGATAGCTCTCCACACTCGTGGCCTCAGCTGCCGAACTGAATCACCAAGACCCTGGCATCAGCTGACATGAGGATGACATGAGCATGACATTGCATGAGACTTGCCCCAACTTTCCGCACGGCAGGGTTACATTGACATCTCGTGCCCTGGGTGCCGAGACACAAAAGCAACCACAGGACACTCATCAGCAGTTAGATCCTCACATCTTGTTGGGAGACGGCTCAGGAACTGTCAATACTTCTGCGGAAGACTGGGGTATGGCATCAACTCGCATGGACAAGCACCAAGCCTGCAGGCGCTGCTGCCAGCGCTCCAAGTCTGCCTGCGGAGTGTGAAGTCTGAGCAACACGATTGACTTAAGGCAAAGGTGGGCACTCAGCATGGTACTATGCATTACCAGTTACAACTTACGAACGTGACCCAGCAAGCTCAGTATGGCTCAGTGCTGGGTGCTGCTAAAGCCCGGACCTACAACATGTGGCACGCTGGAGCCGCGACATGCATGTTTCTCTTGCTACATCTGTAGCGCACGCCACTTCCCTACATTGCTTAAGCTCACTGTTGTGCTTCCCCTCGTTCCCTCAGATGCTCTCTCACGCTCTCTCGCGCTCTCTCCGCTCGTGCCCTGCCGTGGCTGCCGCCGTGCCCTCGGCCACGCTCGACAGGCGTGTCAAGGCCTCCTTGTGCCTCTCCGGGGTACGAAGCACATTAGAGCAGCGCTGCCTCAAAAAGAAAGGGAAAGTCGCCGCCCTGGCCTTGCATCGAGTGTGGAGCTGAGCTCATCGGATGCCTGCTGCGCAAGCCCCGTGGCCTTCAGCGCGACTCCACTTGCAAATGCTTTTGCAGGCACAAGGCAAAGCAGGAGAGAAGTGGTGGCCTTGAGCTGGCTGTGAACCTCCAGATTCGCCTTGAGGGCCTCCTCCAGCTGCACCTTTCCCATGTGCAAAATGCTCCTGAGGCCTTCGGAGCCTTCTGAGCCCTTCTGAGCCCTTCTGAGCCCTTCTGAGCCCTTCTGAGCCCTTCTGAGCCCTTCTGAGCCCTTCTGAGCCAACATCCTACAGCCGGTGCCTTCACTGTTCGGAGCTTCTCCAGACCCTCCCGGGCCGCAGCCTCCTGTGGGTGGCGATCGTTTCTTCTGCTCCCATCGTGGTCCAGCTGCTCCGTTCTCCCCTTCTGTCTTTTCATGTCTCTTCTCCATGCCGGCCTCCTGCTCGACATGAAGCCTCTCTCTGCCGCAGGCTTCAAGCCGCAGCTTCTCCTGCTGAGTCTCCTGCCATTCTTCAAGGGCTGTGTCTGTGCCATTCTGCTCTCTCCGGCCAAGTTGCCTCCTCCGCAGACTGCAGCTTCTGCTGAAGGCTCTCCAAGCGATCTTGGTAGAGGCTGACCTCAGATGCACTTGCGCTGTGTTGCCACAAAGCCTGCGGCAGCACCATTCCCGCAGCAAGCAAAAGCAGACGATCAATGGATTTGCAACCTTCCTCTTGAAAAGAAATTCTCAAGCAGATTCGAGTAAAACCTGATGAAATCTTTACACCGCTCTTGGAGATTCCAAACCAGGTGCGCCCGCCTGCTTCTGAGCACTGGCCAACTCCTCCTCCATGCTTTGCACTCGCTTCTCCGCAGCCTGGCGCTGGCGGCCTGTTCACAGCAGTTGTGCAACTTAGTAAAGCCTTAGTGGCTTAGTATGATGCAGAGGGGGGCATTGGGCACCTGCATCCGACAACTTCGTCTCAAGTTGGCGCAAACCAGAACGACGAGCACGATCACGCTCGTAGCCTGTGCTCAGCAACACCCTTGTACCATCCTGTGGATCTTGAAACAAGCCTGCTGCCAAGTCCTCCTCCTGAGAGGACAGGCGCTGCATCACGGCCTGGCTGACTTCGCGAAGTATTCACAAACTTCACACAAATCCACTTGCGACACTTCTCACAAGTCCACTGTGCTCATAAGCCATCGCGTAGCATCGCTCATAGAACTGCCTCCACTTCGGCCCGGAGACGCTGGCGCTCGCGCTCACACCTCCACACTCTGAGCAACGGCCGTTCGCGCACGTAAGGAAACAGCAACACATAAAGAGCACAAGGATCGGTATGTACTACTGAGCTTCTGCAAGGCTCACAATCGCGAACGGTGATGCCAGTTCTGACCTTTACAAAACGATTCCGACAACTTTTCGAAGCTGTGTAGAAGGACGGTGGGTCACTCACACCCAGACATGTTTGGAGACAGTGTCACCTTAGTGGCCACCCTCTTGGACTGCCTTTTGCCCTCAAACTTCCGTGACCGACTGGGACACAGCCATTTTCGGCCAGACGAGACCTCTTGCCCCCCAAATAAAACACAATCTCCAGATCTCTGCGTGCCCAAGCCTAGTGTACCACTCTTCCTCCTGCTGGATTTGGTCGCTAGTTTCCTGTCGCAGCGTAGCAGCTTCTGCGGCACGCACAAAGCGAAGAGCAGGAGAAACATACAAACTGTAAACTCTGAAGAACGACACCCCATACCCCAAAGTCACCTAATACCACCACGAGCTCTGCAAACGTCTGCAGCCTCCAAGGTCTTCTGTTCATCCCGACACTGCCTTCAGCGAGTCTTGACGTGCAAAAGCGAAACCCTTGATAAGGCTGTGAACTTGAGACAGGAAGCCAGATAGGAACAGAGTAGAGTAGGACTGTGAACGGCGGAAAGAGGAAGCCGACCACAGACGACTGTTCATCAAGGGTCGGAAAAAAAGAAGGAGGAAAACAGAACTCGCTTGTCCATGGCAAAACCTTAAAACATCTAAAACACCAAGAACCTTAAACACTTAAAGCCCTGAAACCACCTAGCAGCCTTACTCCCTCAAACCCTAAGTCCTAAAACCTAAAACCACTATCTACCTGAAACCCAAGTCCTAAAACCCCAAAAACCTGGACTCTTTCTGTTTTCGACTTGTTCCACGCAGCCCGGGTGACTCACCGGCAAGCGTAAGACTTGAGGGTCTTTCACAGTTAATGGATCGAGCCAAAACACAACAAAGACCAAGTCGAAAAACATGACAACGCGAGTCAGAAAACAAGACAGATATATCGGTCAGCAAACATGAGGAAAAAATGATTCGAGCGGCGTATCCACCTAGAACCCTTAGACCTTCGATGGAAGCCCTGAAAACACTTAGCTGCCTTATTTATTCCTGAAAACCCTATCGTGATAAACCCTGAAACCGCTTTCTACCTCCAGCCTAGACCCTAAACCCGATTCATGCCGATTCCCGAAACCCCATTCCCTGAACCTTTAACTCTGACCCCTCAAACCAAAACCCTAAACGGCGGGGGACCTTTGCTGCTTTCGACTCGGTCCTTTTGTTTCCGACTCAGGGCGTCTTGTTTCCACTCAGTCCAGGTGACTCGCAGGTACTTCTCCTGACTTGTGCATCTGACTTGCACGTTACTTCACAGGGCGACCGCGACTCGGGAACATGACTCGACAACAGTGGACCGAGCCCAAAAGACAAGTCGAAAAAGACTTGACAACACCAGCCAGAAAACAAGACCGCATAGGTCAGAAAAAGGAGGGAAAAAAGAGTTCGAGCGTGTCCATCTAAAACCCTTAAACTTCAAAATCCTTGCAACACCTGAAACCTTGAAAACACCTAGCAGCCTTACTTTCTATGGTTTTAATGGTCATAAACCCTAAAACCCCTTGTACCTACCCTCACCTTAAGGTCTAAGGTCCTCCAACCTAAACCCTAAACTGGCGGGCAGTTAGGGAGGGAGTCTTTGCTGTTTTCGAGTTGGTCTTTTTTGTTTCCGCCTCAGGGTTTCTTTAAAACAGGATTCGAGCGTGTCCATCCAAAACCCTTAAGCCTCTAGAAGCCTGAAACACCTGAAACCATGAAAACGCCCAGCAGCCTTTCTCCCCAAAACCCTAAAGTCGTAAGCCTTGACAGGCTGCAACTATTTGGGTCACTATTTCATTCACTGAATGTACAATTCACTCTTGTTTCACTTTCGACACACCAAACTTATGTCCGCTATACCCTAAAACCTTTTTCTACCTAGAGCCTGAATCCTAAACCCGAAGCCCTAAACCCGAAACCTCAAACCTAAACCCTTAGGGGGACTTCTTTGTTTCGACTCAGTTCAGGTGACTCTCAAGTACTTTCCTGACTTGGGCGTCTCTCTACAGCTCCTGCTAGGTATCCGAATCGAATGCAGGACAGTATTCAACAACTTCCTCAGGCCAACACGAGCTTAGCCGCTCGCAGTCCATGTTGGTCCCCAGAGCAGCCTTCAAATCCAGCATGGAGCTCGGTGTGTTGCGGCTGAAGACTCCCTGCCAGGAGCACTCCTGCCTCTTTGGCTCGCATCACCTCTGTCTCCGCAAACTCTGCACCGGCCCTGAGCCCAGGTCACCACAACAACAACGTGTCGGATGTGTAGCCCCCTGACCTGAATCTGAATATGCCTCTCCAGGTCATGTCGACTGCAGGGCCAATAAAAGTACCCCCACGCCTGGCTTCCTTGAGGCGCTGCTGCGCTGCTTCGGCCTTTCTTGGGAAGGGAGCTCTTTCCCGCGTTTCCTACAGAGGATGCTCCGAAGCAGTCCAAGAATGATGCCCCCTTGCTCTCGAAACTGCAACGAGATGCCTTTCCTCCCCCGTAAGTGCAGTCTCACGAGGCGCCTCTGCCAATTGGGTCCGCAGTGTGTTCTGCATCCTGACCCATCTGTGATCTCTTGTCACGGATTGCAGCAACAAGAGCAACTGCACGACACTATTGCCTTGTACTTGTGAACTTCACGCAACTCCAAGCAACTTACTTCAACCATTTCAACCTCAAACGGCTCAACTCTCGGGACCCCGACTGTGAAGCCATTGCCTTGCACAGCGCATGAAATATCAAGATGCAAACTCAGCTGCCGGAGTGCCGTGTCCCAAGCGATGTCACTCTAACCTTTGTGGGCGTAGCCTGTCGTGCGCTTGCACGCTCTCGCACTTCTTGCCTTGTGAAAGGACAATTCAGATTGTAACTACTCACTTACACGTCGCATGTTCTCACAGGTTTATGCACTATACACACACGCACTCCAGCAACTAAACTCAAAGATAGGGGAGCTTGGCAGCTTGAGGACCGCACTGCAAAGCAGTCGATCTGCTTCGCACTTCCTCATGACGAGCCTCTGCAATCCGAACCCGGTCGATAAGGTGCGAAAACTTCTGGCCTTAGCGGACACACATGTCTTGTACCTGGAGCTACCTGTCAGGAAGATGCGTTTGGCAACTTCTATCCCTAGGTTCACACTGAGACCGGCGCAGAGAAGGCTAACAATCTGATCAGGGTCCTGCTTGCTGTCGAAGCTGCCAACTAGTGGAAGCTAGAGAAGGACATTCCGGAAATGTGTGAGATCTTGGCCCGCTTCGAAGCAATGATTTGAGTCGGCGTCTACTGTCTGATCCGTTCACATTGGCAGCTTCTCATAGACACATGGGCGCTCTGTTGCCGCAGTTCAGGCAAAAAATTCTGCTTCCAGCAAAAGAACCAGCAAGTTTCCCAATACATAGTCCGCAACCCGATCTCGATGGGGTTGATGCACTTTCGGCGACATGGCAAATGTACACATTTGCACGCGCACACGCGCGCACACACGGACACACACGCACCTTCTACCAGAAAGCTACAGAATCGGTGGCACCCTGTGTTTCCTCAACATGTTGCTCAAACTTTGCTCACGCGACGATGGCAAAAACATGCGGTCCTGAACAGCCTGCGCAAGCTCTCCTTACATGGCCACGCAACATCTTGCAAGTACACAACGCGAGCTTGACATCTGGACAATCCGACACTGGCAATTTTGAGGCTGCTACCTGCACTGCAAGGCATTGCCTCCGCAGCGGCCATGGCTTCACAAAGCCTGAACACATTTCTTCCCTCGTGACAAGTCCCGACATTTGGCTCGTGATGCTCAACGAAGGTGCACGTTTGGATGCATCGCTTCCTAACATCTGCAACTGACATATGCATCCCTACGATCACGTACAGTCAGCCAACTTGCCCCCGTAAACAGAGGCACAAGTCGTCATTCAGGTCTTGATCGCCCCCAGAGTATGTACAGACTCGACCCTGAACATCCGGTTCAAAGCAGTTTGCATCGACATGCTCCAACGTTTACGATGAGAAATGGCAGATGTTGCAACAACAGCTGGCACTGTTTCATGCATCCCTTGAGGAGTGAGAAACCTAAAACGAATTCGGGCATGCAAGCTCGCTAAGCCCTTCCTCCTCAACTTGTAGGCATTGATTTCCTAAGAGTTGCATAGCAGAAAGCACATTTCCACGGGGAGGAAGGGACTACGGTCTGCCCTGCCGTCGGCATCTGTCAGCCATACGCCAGGATCATGTTCCTGCACCCAAAACGGGGCCCAGCTCTCGATCCCGTGCGAGTGATTTCAAAGGCCTCCTTTGGTGGAGGCGTGCTGCTGTTCGACGACCTGAGCGAACAGAGAAATTTGCCGGCACAACTTCCCTTCTACCCTCTATCCGACTCTATCCTCGAGGCTGCGACAATCTTCCGGATCTTCGCAGTCGACTCCAGCCTTCCTGGGGAAAACTTCAGGCGTGGAGAACACGGAAAATATTCGGAGTTCGGTCACCAAGAGCCCCGGAGACATGTGGATTCTCTTCCATTTCCTCCATATGTCAAGCCCACGTCAAGCACTGAGCCCATGGGCCGTGTGCGGTTCTGGCCGCTGCGGGCTCCGTGAAGCCTGGGATCTGTGTTACGAGGGAACGCTGGGAAGCACCAAGGATCGCAGTGGGAAGAACCTAAAAACAAAAACAGACTTGGCAATCTGTTCCGATGCCTCGGCATGGACGCCGCCGCATC